ATTAGATTTAGATTTTGTACTACATATTAAACCAAAGTAAAATAGGACTTGATGTTTTCCTAAAAAAGTTTTTAGTGTGTGTGATTTTTGTGACGTGCTATCAACATTAATCAATTAGTTTGATTGGTTATGTCATCATTGGATGTTCTTGATTTTTACTTTTTCTAAATAGATTTTTTCGTTTCACAATAAATTTAAAATTAATATCTCTTGGAAGATTCTTGTGTAAGCTTTGCTGGGGAAAGGAAGCCAAAAGGTTAGAAACGTAATTGTGTGATGCAGTGCCTGGGGCGGGAAGAAGAAAGAAACAACAGCTTCAAGCCTTCAACTCCAATCAAACTTTAAAACAATGTCTACAAAATGGCAAAAGGAAGAACTGATGTAAGCAACTGAGCTTTTCTAGTTACAATCATAAGATGTTTCATCCCCAAAGTATCTCCTTCAATGCTACCAGAGTCATCATTTCTCCTATCCCTTCAGCGTATTTGGGCAAGAGCTAGGCCAACGCATCTTCAATTAACATTTGGTGGGCTGGTAATGGTATTACATTAAGTGACAATAAATCAATGGTTTCCATTGCGCAGGAGTAGTGAGTGGTTTTGGCGGTGGCTAGAGAAGCTGTGAATGCGTGAGGCTAGGGGTTTTTTAACATCGATGGCGCGGATAACTCATTAGGTTTTAACGAAAGAAAAGTTCTAAATTGAATGTGAAGTGACGTGTTCATAAGATTTTGAAGGCACTAATTTGCACATAATATAAACAAATGAGGGAGGGGAGATAAACATCATTAAACCCGGGAAAATTTATGATTTTTAAACTAGAACACATATAAATCTCATATAAATTTAAGATACTATACTATGATTGTGATGATTGAGGAAAATGATTTGAAGGGGAATATATTGATATATAAAAGTTTAACTAATATGCCCTATACGTAAACAAAATTTAACAAAGTCAAAAGGACCAAAATTATAATGATAGTATTTGTTAAGGACATTCACAACCTATAACAAACTCACTTGTCAATACACATGCCACATCCAAACTTCTCTTTACAGTTGATGTTGCTCCATATGAGTTTCGAAAAATCGGCTATCAGTTAAATAGTTTTCAATATTAATTTCAATTTGTACCATTCTTGCATGATCTCTTAGTCCATTGATTTGGGAATTGCGGTAAATAATACTCAAATTTAGAGTATGTCATAGAAAAATAGTTAAAGAGAAAAAAAAGAGAACACATGCCATTATAACCACGAACTTCAACTATTATTATCAAAATTAGCCCAGATGGAATATCTCTAATGTAATATTGAGTATGTACATTAACTAATTTTTTAAATATAATAAGTCTAAACTATAATTTGGAATGCGATAAAAGAATTTTATGCGACACTTGTGTTACACTTTGTATGACATTAATTAAATAAGTGCCATATGTTTGACACGTATGTGTGATACTAGTTATATGATTGGTACATGTTTAATCATTTACCGGAATATATTCACTTACCATTTGACTAGATCATTAGTATTGAAGATAATGACATGCACGTGGCAATCACTTAATTAGTGTCATACACAAAAGATCCGATGGCATCCAAATGGATTCACTTACCATTTGGTTAGAGTTTTTAATATGAATTATTGAATTACGATATATGGAGAGAAAATTTTAGGAGAAGAAGTGACGATGAATGATCATATTCGTTTATTTTTCTAGAGCAATAATAGAGACACTATAAAGTAAATTATGAAAATGTATAGCGACTTGATCTATACATAATAATTAGGGATTTTATGGAGAGGGAGGGAAAAAATAAAATTTTAACGGCAAAGTGCCAACAACTCTATCAAAGGGGACCCTATTAAAGGAATAGTTTCAAGTACACCTGCACTTTAGCTCTCACTTTGTTTCACTTTTGCTCCATATATTTTCTTTTATGTGAAACAGTGTGTCCCTTCTTTACATATCTCATATAAAGAAAGGAAGAAAACCAAAGAGAAAGGACTAGTCGGAACAATGATTCGGATACTTGGTGCGCAATATACCAAAAAAAAAGGGGAAAAGAATCAGCTGACAACAGATAGTGAAAGGACAATCTGAGCGGATGTTAGGAGTGGACAAGAAGAGAATGCAAGACCCAGAGAAGGTTGGTTCCATCTCATTAGCAGCCGGTAGGCGGGTCCAAGTCTTCATTTTAACTTCTTTATGATGAGAGAGCTGATCCTGAAGGCCCGAACCTTCCACACATCAGTCACTAATTTTTAGCACTACACGCATTTTTCTTTATACGTCTTCTTTATAATTTTTCCGGACACGTTTTACAACTCTTATCATCATGACTATGCCGTGGAATGTGATAAAATGACTAAATGTCTTAAATTGAGAATTTAAATTGCACTAATCTTGCAAATCACCCAACTTAAATGAGGTTAGTTTAGAGATTTAACCTTTTTATTATGTTTGATTTCCCCTTTAAAATACCTCAAACTAACAGGAAAATAATAGTACACTATAATGTGCTTTTCTCAAAAGTAAATTCTTAAATATAACGATTTCAAGCAATTTTAAGTTACGTTTGAATTGTTATTTTAATTTGTACATTGTGTTTATGTATGTTATGACATGTTTTGAAAATAATTTTAAGAACGTGTTTATATAAAACTGTCCTCTAACCATCAGAAGACTACCATTAGCCACAGTAGCCGGTTAATACTTGTACTGTTGAAATTTTATTGATAACACTACCACTATAGTAGGAGTCAACACTAATGTGTTGTGAATGATATTTTGTTGGGGCGGGAAAGAAAAGAATTCTATGCGAAAAAGGTTTTTTAGAGTTCACAAGATAAACATGTGTTTGAAACTTTTTGCAAAAGACGAAATCGTAAAATTGATTTCAAATCAACTGTCCAAACGGGGACTGGATCCTCTTTGACACTTTCCTATTATACAATCCAATTACATTTCTTATGGATATTATATTTTGTGTTAATGCATATACTATAAATTATACTATTATCGTAGATCATTTTCATATTGCTATTCAAGTTTTTATATCAATGTTATTTTTTATGATTTGGTAATTTTTATTAAATTTTTTAACTATGAAAATTAAAATACATAAACCATAACCCCAAAAAGTAAATCATTAGTTCTTATTAATATATAAAATTCGAAAGTGATTGTGAATGGTATAAATATTCACAATCGTGTAAATATTCACAATCACCATAGTTATTGAATCGTGATACGTATCATGTATAGGAAACCTAAATTCATGATACGCGTATCGTGTTATGTATCATATCGTAAGATACGTTTTAATGTAAAAATATGTATAAAATAAATAATAAATATCATAAATTTCAGATGTAATTGGTATTTCTACACATTATATTTATTTTTCAGTTATAAACAAATAAATTTATCAAGTTGAATTTAAGATTAATTGAAAGTTACACAAATTGCTCGTTCATTACATGGATAATGGTCGTAAAAACTAATGTAGTAAATATTATTTTTCATAATAGCTGTTATTATATATACTTGATTTAAACTGACTCTATGAATAAAATAATGTTTTAATCATTTTTTTTAAAAAAATTAGAATAGTCTATTAAGTGATTTTTATCTTCAATTGAGAAATGTTATATTTATGAAGGAAATAAATCAAAAGTATCTATTTAAAATGAATTTGTAAATGAAATTCACTCTTTGAAATTAAAATGGTGATTATAAAACAATAATGTGAATGTTTTTAAGAAAAAAAATCATTTTTGACAATATTTTTGTTATCATACAATACACAAACATATCATGTATCGTATGTATCGTATAATACTTATCATTAATTGATCGATACACAAAAAATTACGATACATACCATGCTACATATCGAAATTCTTGATTTTAATACATATCATACAATACATATCGCGTATACGTATCATGCGATACTAACTACTATAACATCATCGACAAAAATTTACACAAATTTATTATTGAATTATGAAGCATAGTGTAATAGGAATGTGAGGGTCTTTTACCTAAAAAAAATCCTTAAAATAAAGGTAGGCAAATTTAATTTTTTTTAAATATATGTGGACATATATATATATCTCCCGGATTCCACAAATCCGAAGGTCCATTAGAATTAAACTTTCGGATTTCACAAATCCGGATCCAAATAATATTAAAATAACAAGTATTTACATTTTGTGAAAATGCAGTCAAAAAAGTCAGAAAAAGAACAATGAACTTCGGAATTGTAAAATCTGAATGAAATAAAATAAAAAAATACAAAAAGAAAATTAAGGCGCGAAATTTTGAATTTCAACTCCAGAATTTTGTAATCCGGATTAAAGCATTTGGATTTATGAAATCCAAATATATTTAATTTTGGTTAGTGGAAGTAGGCATCTGTTATAAATTGGAGGTCCAAAAAACAGAATTAAAAATTCGTAATTGACTAAACTCAGATTTCTTAAATCCGAGCTTAAGAGGATTCGGATTTTGGTAGTCCAGTGTACTTACTTATTCGGATTTCTGAAATCCAAGTTTAATGTGATATAAAAGAAAAAAAAATCAAATAATTTTCATTCAAGAACTGAGTTGGGGTTTCTGTTTCTGCGGCTCTTGGTTGGCGAATTGGAGTTTTTGATGCAACCTTACCGCTAGATACGTGGGGATCGTTATTTGAAAAAGGTTAGATTATTAAACCATGTTATTTAGTTTATTTTTGTGTTATTTTGATTGTTAGAACGATGTATGGTAGATTAAGATTTTTATTTGTTGATGGTTTGGATGTTTTAGGTGTTGATTTTGAGGTTAGAGATGAGAAATCGTGGTTGTTCATGAGATATGGAAGTTGATTTCTAAGTATTTTAGGATTTTATAGGTCTTTTGAATTATGAATGGAGTATGTATGGTGTATTTGTTGATTTTGTTATTAAGCAATGATTAGATATTGATTTTTTTAAAAACAGTTATCAATGGCATGTAATATATCATACATGCTTAATTTGTTTCATACAAGCAAATATGTGATAGAGAATGGTATTATCAACACCTTTTCGAATATGCCGGATGATGGCTTGTTTGTTGAGGAAAGGTTGTCATATGTGGAATTGATTCGTAAGATTTGTATGACACTTGGTTGGGATCTAGCACACGTGAAACTCCACCTTTCTGTAATTTTCGATAGTCCCGGTGGTAGGCGTGTAGTGAAGATCAAGAATGATTCGCATGTAGAGTTCATGAACCATGTAGCTCCAATGTCATGTTTGGATTTATACATAAATTTGGAAGATATCACTCACGAAGAAAGAGAAGCGAGTTTGGAAAACAACATGGATGGTAATTTTCCAAGGGGAGAACGTGCTAGTACTTCTCGAAACCGTGATGAAGAGGAGACACATTTATTTGCACAAGATGACTACATGAAAGATGAGGATCCCGACTACACAGCTCCAAGCGAAAGCGAAGAAGACCGTGAGTTCTCTTTAGATAGTGATGTAGATGAAAGTGATGATGAATTGTTCTAAAATGAGGACTGGGATCGTAATTCATTGCCCCGACGCCATGTATATAGTAAGATGGGGAAATGGGATGCCTCGTGTGTGGATATGGATGAGTCTGCTCTTAAGATGTGGGATGAGACCCCCAATGGAATGGAAATTGGTGTTTGTTTTAAATTCCAATCAGAAGCAAAACATGCTATGAAATTATGGAACATCCATCATAAAAAGGAATATAGGGTTGTCGCGACTAGTCCAACGACGTGGGTTGTGCGGTGCAGAATATTAGATGTACCAAGTGAGGATGGTGATCCACTATGTGTGTGAAAGATGCTTGTGTCTTTGAAAGATCATGGCCTTCATCAAATTGTGAGATGGCATGATGCACATAATTGTATGACTCCCGTGAATGATCATGACCATCAGTGTGTAGACGCGTCTTTGATTGCTGGACTCATCAGGAGAAAGGTTGAGGACAACATAGATTATACGGTGGCCTCGGCACAGAAAGATGTGAAGACCTTATTGAAAGTAGATGTGCCATACAGAAGGGTGTGGCACGAGAGGAGGAAAGCCATAGTAGCAGTCTACGGTGATTGGACTTCGAATTTCGAAGAACTTTCTAGGTAAATATAAACTTTATAATTGTTATGTGCATTATTTTTATTTTTTTTTGGGTTACATGTATTGAAATGTTTTAACTATGACTTGTTTGTTGTGTAGGTATATTGATGCTCTTAAGTTTACTAATCCTGAGACTGTAGTAGAGTGGGAATGGAAGAAGGGAGAAGAAGGTTGGAACAGAGAAAATAGGACATTTAAATACGTCTTCTGGTCATTTGCACCAGTGACTGCAACATTTCTTGAATGTCCACCGGTCATTTGTATACATGGAACACACTGCGTGGTGGTTACAAGGGTAAATTACTTGTTGCGGTGGTCTATACTGCAAACAAGCACATTTTACCGGTTGCATTTGCGATTGTGGATGATGAGACAGTAGAGAGTTGGACATTTTTATGAGGAATTTGAGGTTGTGGGTTGTGCAGGATGGAATCGTAAGTGTGATATCCGACCGGAATGCAGGGTTGTTGAGCGCAATGTCACAAATGGATGAACGGTGTGATTTAGGGGATGGACACCACTTTTATTGCCTCGCCACGTTCGCAGCAATCATGTGTCGCGACATAAGAGTAGAAAGGTGAAGCGGCTATGTTGGAAGATGAGCACTACGCTTTCAAAACAAAAATACAACAGTATGAGGGCAGAGCTTATTAAATTCAAACTTGCGGCATGGGAGTATCTTCGAGGGATTGGAGGGAGTAACGGGGCTCGATTGAAAGCCAGTCTTCGCCGTAGGGGTATAGCAACAACCAACATTTTTGAGAGTTACAACAATGCGTTGAAGAGATCCGGTTTTTACCAATTAGAATTTTCATCGATGCAAATTTTCGTAAAAATGTGAAATTCTATAGAGACAAACAATTGTTGACGAGAAATTGCATGACACCCATCCCTCCTGAGTTATGGAAAAAATACGAGAAAATGAACGACAAAACAGCCAGCTATGATGCCTCCCCTTTTGATGGTGATGATGCTAGGTGGCGGGTGGTTACTACTACACGGCTAAGTGGCAGGGGTGGGTCTTTGCATACGGTGCACTACGATGAATATAGGTATTTGTGCAGGAAGTGGCAAGAGTATCGGATGCCTTGTACGCACACACTCGTCGTTTGCCGGAGAAAGGGAGATCGACCTATTGATCTATACCATAGTTTGTGGCGCCTTCCAGCATGGCGCAGACAATTTGATTACACGGGTTTTGTTCTGGTTCCCGATGAGCAACAATGGCCGACGGTCGATTGGAATATCATTTTGATTTATGAGCGTCTTATTTTGAATGCAGGACCTGGACGAACACAAAAAAAAAGAGATATAAAATGCAAATGGATTACAGGGGATGTCGGACCTGGGGAGAATGTTGGACATGCGGACAACAAGGAAATGATGTCAATTCTTTTCCTTACTCGCACCCAGGAGTAGATAGAAAACCTATGAATGACAGCTGGAATTGAAAGATATTTAGTGTTCTTGTTATTTTGAATGAGCATGTTATTTGGAATCACAACTGTTTAATTAGATGTCCTATAACTTTTTGTATTGATCAATTCAGATTGTAATGTTAACATTAAATTGTTGCTGTTGTGATTGTGATGAAAATAGATACTAATTGTTGATAACATGTTTTGGGATTGTGCAAAAACAAAATTAGACATTTTGTATGTTTGTATTGGGATCGGATTTCTGAAATCCGAATGTATGCAGTTTGTATGGAGACCAGATTTTTGAAATCCGAAATAAGCCCGATTTCCTGCAACAATAATTCGGATTACCTCGAGTTATCCCAATTTGTACTAAATTCGGATTTCGGTGTTCCGTACTCAGAAAATTCATCCGGGAGTGTGCAATTTTGGGAGAAGTAGGGGAGATTCGGATTTCTAAAATCCGAGTTATTCCATTTTTTGCTATCTCCAGATTTCAGAAATCCGTACTCAGAAAATTTGACGGGACTATAAAAGGCCGGTCAACTCTTTCTCTATTTATTTCCCCAATTGCCGGATTTTGAAAACCCTAAAACCACCCCCTTCCCCGAGCGGTGACGAACTTCGCCGTTCCACCGCCCCCCACCATCCGGTGACTCAATCCATCACCCAAATCGAGCTCCCCTCTATCCGGCGACCCGCCCCCCTCCGTCCAGCTGTCTGAAATTGACTCAATCCGACGACTCCCTAAACTGCCAAATCGAGCTCCCCCTCCAGTGACTCCCTACACGCTCGGCGACTCCCTACACTGCCGCAGACTCCCTAGCACAGCAGGCGATATTCCCAGCGACTCCCTCCATCGTATACAGTCCGACGACTCCCTCCCTCCATTCCCGTAAGTTTTTTTCTCTTTATTTTTTTTTTCAAAATTTGTTTAATTTGGTTTGTGTTGATTACATATGGTGGAATTTGGTTTAGTTTGGTTTGTGTTAAATTTGGTTTGTTTGGATTCGGTAATGATTAATTTTTTTTTATCACCCTCTATTAGAATTGTGAAATCCAAAGGTTTTTTTAGCTTATGATAAATTGCAATGGTACATTCATTTCGATTGCATTTCTGGAATTATGTTATAGCTTGTGATAAATTGCAATAGCTTGTTTAGTTTAGTTTAGTGTAATTATGCTTTTAGTTGAGTTTAGAAACATGTTTTGGCTTCTGTTTTGTTTCTGATTAGTTCTCTTTTTAGCTTCTGTTTTGTTTAGTTTAGTTTAGTTATGTTTTTAGTTTAGTTTAGTTTAGTTATAGCTTCTGGAATTATGTTATGCTTTTAGTTTAGTATATGTTATAGTTTTAATTGTTGAATTGTGAATATAGTGAATATATATGTGCATAGTATTGATATGCAAATGTTTCTTTTGTTGCCGAATGTAGGATTGCAATGGCTAGCTCATTTAGCTCGCAATATAACCCTAAACATCTTCAACCGGGGCCGGTACAAGAAAAAGTAATATACTTCAAAAAAACCAGAGGTCCCAAGCTGTCTTTGAGAACAAGATCCACAACATTAAAACATTTTGCCTCAAGGCCCTAGATATGATAGCTCATTTTGGGAGATATACACTAATCATACGGCTCCGGAGGTTAAGGAAATCATAAAACAGCCGGGTTTTGAGGGGATAATGAAAGTATGCTACAAAAGAGTGGATCTCAATCTCATTACCATGTTGGTGGAACGATGGAGGCCAGAAACCCACACTTTCCATTTCAATTTTAGAGAGGCGACTGTGACACTACAGGATGTCGAGGTCCTCTTTGGTATCCGGGTGGATAGTGAGCCGGTGTACGGGACGACAGTTAGCCGGAGTGTAGAGGAATGACAGGCGAGATGTGAGACTTATTTGGAATTCAGGCCAGCCGCAGTAAATGGCCAATTTGTCAAGATTGGTGTTTTCGAGGATGAGATGAAACATGCCCTCCCTGAGGATTCCACAATCGAGCGACTCGAGTAAAGGGCCCGTTTCATGTTTCCTACCAAGAGTCAAAACACTGTCAATCTGAAGTTGTTGGCCCAGGTTGAAGATTTGGAGCAGTGTAGTCGATACAGTTGGGGATCAGCCCTGCTTGCTTGTTTGTACTCTGGCCTGTGCGAGCCAACCTAATACACCATGCACGACGTCACTAGCTGTGCATATTTGCTACAGGTACGTATTAGTTTTCATTAGATGTTATAATTGTTTTTGTTTTCGACATTATAATTTGAAGTGTTAACATTATTATTGAAATTTACTAGGGATGGGCGTATGAGCGGATCTTGAGAATCACGCCAAAAAGAGTAGCACTAGATTATATCCTGGATGATACCACTCCATTAGCTCAGCGGTGCGTATTTTTATTTCAAATAACTCAATGTTTACCCTATTTTATTCTTATTCTAATTTTTTAATAATTAAAATGTTATGATTTTCGTATTTGTTCATTAAGGTAGGTATGTTCGTACACCTACAAAGACGTCCCAAGGAGCAGCTTGGCACCTTCTAGAGATCAATTAACAAGCATGCGTCTTGGAGATGTAAGTACTTAATTTGGTATTTATATTTATTTTAAATTTTTTTTCCCGGTTATACCATTCAAATAAATTTATTTCGTACAGTTTCTTTGTTAACCATATGCAAGCGTCCTCCCTAAACTCCCTGATTTCTGTAAACAAGGCCAAGCCATTTGGACGACCAGATGTTGGATATTCCTGTGTCCCTATGATTAAAGATCGCGCATCATTTCTTCTTGATCACGCCCACAGTATGTCTCGCCTACCTAGCAACAATTGTGTAGATCACCAGTCTGCAGTACGTCCTCACTGGAGAAAGAGAAAAAAGTACGTTCCAAAAGCTTTGGAGGTTGGATTCACTGGCCAAACATATGAGGGGTACTATGAATGGTTCATAATGAATACTGTCAAGCTTATATCCAATCCCAAAAATTATAAAGCTAAAGGATATGAGACTTCTTCAAGCCGAGTGAAATTATATGTGAGTTCATTCTATATTTTTGGTTTTTTATTTCTTACATTTTCCTTTTATTTTTTTTTTTTATCTTTTTATGATTTTTGTATTTTACTCTTTTAATTAACGTTTCAATTTCTTTTCAGGATGAAGTATTGAACAACATTCGCGTGAGTTTCGAGCAGTTTAGAGATGATAGACATAAGAAGAATCTCCTAGACGATCAACACGAGGAGCATTTGAACGAAATCATCGATCAAACCCATGCTGCTTTAACCTTAGGCCCAAATGATGAGATTGACATGGACGATACCCAAATCCTGATTGATGGCAAACCATCTCTGCCCTCACAATCTGCGCCGGGTAAAAAAGCGAAACCATGGCCGAGAGAGAAGATTGGAGGAGGAAGAAAGCGAAAAATAGTGATTCCCCTTGGTCATCGCAAGAACAAAATGTGGGTGACGGTTCAGGTAATCAACAACGAGATGGTGATGCGGCTTCTTCTAGAGGCTCGCACATCCATGTCCAGACTCAATTTGAAGACATTGGTGGACCTGGGACTCAATTTGGTGGAGAGTCGCAACCACAGTCGGGAGTCCTATCTCACCATGGGAGAGTCCCAATCCCAACCCCAACCGCGTCAACAATAGGGTTCAATACTCACGTATCTTCTGAGGGAAGACAGGATCCGCCAGGGGCAAATAAATACATTCCGGATGCGCCTAGGAAAGGAAAAGGGAAAAAATGAGCCCGTTAATGTATTTTTACATTGAAAGTAGGTTTTTGGATTGATTTTGGATTGAAACTTGTTATGTTTTGTTGTTAATCGTATGAACTTTATTGTTTTGTTGCCATTAGATTTCTGTTTTTCTAAATTTCATTGTTGTCGGTGCTGTAAACAGGTTTTGAACTGGTTAAAATCAGTCCATTTTTTTTCAATTCTGACACAGATCCGGATTTCACAAATCCGAAGTTATGCTTTTTGTAGAACACTCGGATTTTGGAAATCCGAATCAATGGTTAACTGGGAGTTCCAGTTTCTCAGAGAAACAGAGCAGATCCGGATTAAAGAAATCTGGTTTCAAGAAATTCGGATTTTTGTAATCCGTCTTTTGCCAAAGAGAAGATCCGGATTTTGATAATCCGGATTTACCCAACTTCGGATTTCCGGCATCCGTCTTTTACCAAAGAGAAAATCCGGATTAATAGAATCCGTTTGAACACGAAATCGGATTTCCGTAAGTCGAATTTGCCCAAAAATATTTTCCAACACTTGTAATTTTTTCATCCCACCGGAAATTAATATTTTATTAATAAATTCGGATTCACGAAGTCCGTGTTTATATTAACTACATTAAATCCTTTCATTAATTTAATCTCTGATTAATATTACACAAAACCGGATTTCAGAATCCGAATTTTGTTAGATCTGGATTTCAAAAATTCGCCTGTTACCCTGATTCAGATTTTTGAAATCCGGAGCACACAATTTTGTCCACATAATTTTTGAAAAGTTTTTTTTTATTCAGATCCTTAATGTGCAAATATACTTAAGTAAAAACCTCAAGAATGTGACAGAGAGGTCCTTGCTGCCATCAGAAGAAATGCATGAAATTGGAAGGAGAAGGACTGCAATGGAACTTGTCTTAAAGTACAGCGATTAAAACTGAAATTCCACCGTATTATCATTATTCTTACCATTAGCCGTTAAACTAATCAATTAGTATGTCTTTTTGTGTCCAACTCATCACGCGACTCAAAGCAAATATAGAAAAACTCGTCTATCTTCTTCTTCCTCCAATCTTCGGTTCTTCCCACAATCATTCCTCACCTTTTTCCTCTTTCTCTCTCTCTCTGAAAAAATAAAATAAAGCAACCAAATTGGTCCATATCATATGCATATACAGTACATATCGTGTGCGTAGTTTGCTTTTCTTTTCCCTCAATTTTTAGATTTCTGAATATACTGTCTGCAAAAACAATTTATCAACATTTTTTCTGGGACAAGTCTTTCTTAAAAAGTTGGAGAGAGAACTCCCAAAAAAGGGAAAAAATAAAGAGAGACCAATTATTGATTTATTTCCTCTTTTTCTTTTTCCTTAGTATAGTTTTTGTTGTCATTAAAGTATAGTTTTTTTAATGAATTTATACCATATATACAGATTACAGATTAGTTATAGCAGTAAATAATTTGCCAGCTTTGCATAGTCTTCTCGTTTCTTTTACAGACAACCTTTATTTTGTTTCCTTTTTTCGTTTTCTCTTTCTAAGCCCACCTCACAACTGTCTTCATAATCATATTATTCTCCCCCCTTTCTCCAGTAATCTTGCTCTCTGAAGGAATCCCAGATAGGTGTTGATTGCGTTTTTTCCCGGTATGTCTTTGAATTTGTTGTTTATTTTGCAATCCTGCTTTTGGTGCTTCTGCCAAGATCCGTTCTTTTTCTGCAATTTTGATAATTGGGTTGTGTTTTGTTGGATGTTTTCTGCTGATCTGAGGTTAAGGGGTTCAATCAGCATTGGTTTGGGTTAATTCAATGCTGATTTTTGTTTCACAATTGCTCTAATTTGAGAAATCAAAGTTACTTTGTTTTTTTTTTTTCCCTGTTTGCTTTTACTTGGTTTGCCAATTGCCATGCTGAATTTCGATTGTTGAACCATTTTGATCTGTCAAAACCTGCTGTAATTGTGTGATCAAAGGAAGATGGACCCCTTTGGCTATTGTAACTAAAGCTTCTTCCTCCCGATTGCATTTGCAACATTTTGAAATGCCATCTTTTGAGGTTTATGAACTTCCTGGAGGTTTTGTAATATCGTTCCATGAGCTGGGAATGCTTTCATTGCCTGCACTGTGATGGTTTTTGATATAATGAAGCCAACTATTTGCTTGTATGATGGTGGGCGTCAAGTCCTTAAGAATGTGAGGAGCTGCATTCTTTTGCCCATTTGAGAAGATGGTGGATTATCGACGAGAAAAAGGGTTCAGGTTGTGGATGTGTGGAGGATACTGTTTTTGAGTGTTTTCAGATGCACCGGATAGTTAGATTAACTTTAAGCAAACCTTTTCTGGAAAGGTATCTATTGAAACTAGCTAAAATAGTTCTGAACATGCATCTTGGAGAGATATTCGTGGAGCAAGTTGATGATGCCAAGGTCTAAGGAGAATCTCAGTTAAACTTGAACTCCAAAAGTAACTTATTTAGCTTGAGAAACATCAGAAGTTCCACTTATTACTGCATCTGTGGATATAGATGAAGTCACATTACCATATATCGATGATTCGGTGCTATTAAGTTGATTTGAAATGTCCTGTAAAGATTTTGAGGATCATAGGCTGAAAATGAATGTTGTAATTGTTAGTTAGAAATTGCATTTCCTAACAATTGATCTCCTTTTGAGAATGCAACCTTTTGAAGTAAAAAGGGTACATACTTTATTCAGAATGGAGAATCTGCATAAAAACTTGTGACAGTCTGGTGTTTATCAGGGTTTAAGAGCTTATTACCTCGGTGAACCTTAGAATGCAAATATTTTAGATAATGGAATGCTGTAGTCTTGGGATTACCACTTCTAAAACTTGAACTGGGCTTTGGTTTCAACTGGAGTACCTACTGTTCACCAGTTCACCATCATGTTTGATTCTTAAGCATCCCAAAGTCTTATTTTCTGTTTACTCAGGAGAGGCCAACTCAGATTTTTCCAATTTGGCTGACTGCCATTCTATCATGGATGTTTTCATAATTAATGAAGGATATAAAAACTAGGTTCTTCAACTTATCGTTTAGGATTACAACTGCACAAGTCTTTGAATTTTGTAGAGACTTTATTGAAAATGGCATACTTTACTGCTAAACACAGACTAATTTAAGCAAAGGTCTGGCATCAGTTAATATCCCATGAAGTGCATTATCATGTTGAGGGTAAGACTACAGACAGAATGTATATGTATTTTCTCTTTAGATGGGGATATCTGTCATCTGTTTTATTTTTTTTCTCGTGTTTCTCCTTTTTATCCTGACTTTAGTTTATCAAGTCGGATTTCCAATTCAATAATGTTTGTTGTGTTTGGTATAATTGTTCTCTTCCCTGATTATTCAATCTTTTCTTTGCACTTTAATGCTAGTTCATGATATAAAACTGGCTTATTTGAAACTTCGTAAACCCAATTACTCACCTTGTTTGCTCTTCCCTTTTCTTTTGTTGTTTTCTTCCCTGCAGTTAATTGAAGAATCAAGCCTTTTATAACTCTTATCTCTACCTTTTGGAGGATTTGGGTTGAGAACTGAGAAGCATTCCAAAAGATGTCTAGCTCTGTGAAGGCTTTAGAGCCTGCATTCCAAGGAGCGGGACAGAGAATGTATCCTTCAATGAAGAACTATATTAGATGTCTGCTTTATTGGTTCATTCTTTCTGTATATCCCATTTACTTCAAATAATGAAATTAGATACATTACTTTGAGGTTGCATGTGTGTTTCTACTCATTTTTCTGGTGCTGTATATTTGTAACTGGTTTAATGATCCAAGTTTCGTTTGAACTTGACTCCTGACTTAAGAGGTACTGAGATATGGAGAATTGAGAACTTCCAACCAGTTCCTTTGCCAAAATCTGATTATGGTAAATTCTACTCGGGCGATTCGTACATTATCTTGCAGGTGCAAATTACTCTGAGTTTTCGTTATCTTTGTTCCTGTTATTGGCCTGTACATCCACCCATTTAAATGCTTTGATACAGAAACAAACTTCTGCGTTCTTTTACAGACATCACCTGGCAAGGGAGGTGCATATTTATATGACATACATTTCTGGCTTGGAAAAGATACCAGCCAGGTACTTTTCTGATGCTGATCCTCTTATGTTCATGTTTGCACTTTGTTCCAAATTCAAGTAAATTTCCTTTTTTTTTTTTACATTTATGTTTTCAATTTGTCACAGGATGAAGCTGGGACAGCAGCTATTAAAACTGTAGAACTTGATGCAATTCTTGGTGGGCGAGCTGTTCAGCATAGGGAACTTCAAGGTCACGAGTCTGACAAATTTCTGTCATACTTTAAACCTTGTATTGTTCCACTGGAAGGTGGTGTAGTGTCTGGATTTAAAAAACCTGAGGAGGAAGAGTTTGAAACACGTTTATATGTATGTAAAGGAAAACGGGTTGTCAAATTGAAGCAGGTACAGAAGAATCTTGGAACTGACTGTATTAACTCATTTAGTTGTTATGCTAGTCTGCTTAAGCTCCTTTTGAAGAGGCCTAAGTTCATCTTGTTTTCTAGGTCCCCTTCTCTCGGTCCTCTCTGAATCATGATGATGTATTTATCTTGGATACCAAAGAAAAAATATTTCAGTTCAATGGTGCAAACTCCAACATCCAGGAGAGGGCAAAAGCTTTAGAAGTAGTTCAATTTCTGAAGGACAAGTATCACGAGGGGACATGTGATGTTGCAATTGTTGGTATGAATATTTGACTTCTCATCTCAGCTTGCTCATTCAGTTTCTTAAGTTATATTAACATGATTCTGTTATGCATACTGAAGCATCAAGTTGTTTTATTGTGTGTGTGTGTGTGTGTTTTTTTTTTTTCCTCCTTTTTTTAATTTATTAAATCAACATGTCTTCCTGTTTTAGATGATGGAAAGTTGCAGACGGAGTCTGATTCTGGTGCATTCTGGGTCCTATTTGGTGGGTTTGCACCAATTGGGAAAAAGATTGCTAGTGAAGATGATGTTGTTCCTGAGAGAACTCCACCTAAACTCTACAGGTGAAGATCCCATCTCTATTATTGCTCTGTGCCTTCTGCATTCGAAATTTTTCTTTCATTTTTCCAATCTAAAAATAACATAATAAAATCATAATTTTAGAATTTTTTTGATATATTTGGTTTCAAATGTTGGGAACGAAGAAATTTAGCCTTTTCTGGACAATACATTATCTCTCGTTGAATAAGGAAAATAAGTTGTATATTGCATCTGGAAGGTTCCTATTTGATACAGAAAGACTTGTTTTAATTCTTCTGCTTGCAAGTTTGCTTGAATTTGTGACAGCTTCTTGTGATGGTGACATGCAAGAAAGTTTCTGAGTAATAAATGTAATGCTTCTCACGCTGATATATCTGCATAATGGGTCCCCTCTAAACCTGTGGTTTGTTTTACCGTGTCTGTTCCTGCTAGTAGAAGATACAGATTTGATCTAATAGTTTACTCTATGGATGTAGCATTATTAGCCCCTTGTCAATTTGAAGAGTTTTGCTTTTGCCGTAACAAATTTGAAGAAAGATATGGAGTTTTGCCATTAGATTGTTTGTCCTTTCATGCTTGCTTATGAATGTTATTACACAAGGGTTAATGGGAAGTGATTCTTGTTGTTTCCTAGCTGACGTTTTTGTGATGTTACTTCTGACCCATTGGCTTCATTGTGAAACTCGCTTGAAAGATCTTTGTTGTGGACGGTAATTTTGCAGTATACCTTTGTTTTGGTTTACTACATTAATTGTTGTCATTTACCTGAAATAGTAATATTATTAGACTTGGATTTGAGATAATTGAAGCATTCAGCTGTTAGGATACTGTCTTTGAACACCATCCAATGGAATTCTTATGCTGGTTTAACATGTGGTACTCTTTAACTCATGGACTTGTAATTCTGAGTAAAATTTTTCCCTCTCCTTTTCTTCTCATTTTTACTTTGTTTTTGATGCTCAGTTCAGTAGCTCACAAGAAGGATCTTTGCTCTTTTATAGTGTTGTTGATGGTCAGGTTCAACCTTTGGATGAGGAGCTCTCAAAATCTATTTTGGAAAACAATAAATGCTATTTGTTGGATTGTGGTTCTGAGGTATTTGTGTGGGTTGGTCGGGTAACTCAAGTTGATGAAAGGAAGGCTGCCATTCAAGCTGCTGAGGTTAGTAAAACTACAATTCTCAAAGTAAAGTTTCAGCTTATTGTGCTCTTGTTCCCTACTTGACACTGACTCTCAGTTTTGCTCACATTGGTTAGGAGTTTATCACTATCCAAAATAGACCAAAGTCAACACAAGTAACCCGGCTAATTCAAGGTTATGAGACTCATTCGTTTAAGGCCAACTTTGATTCTTGGCCATCGGGATCTGCTCCTGTTGCTGAGGAGGGAAGAGGCAAGGTAGCAGGTAGGTCAGTTATTTTGCAGAAAACACGGCTAATAAGATTGTTGGAATTTTTCTGCAAAGTATTGTAACCTTTTCACATCTCCCAGCATTGTTAAAGCAACAAGGTGTTGGTGTAAAGGGAGCAAGCAAAACTACTCCTGTAAATGAGGAAGTACCACCATTGCTCGAAGCGGGTGGAAAAATTGAGGTACATGTCTTCTTTCAATTTAGCGACATTTGTGGTGCTCATACCAGGTTTAGTTAAGTGTTAACTAAAATTTTGCATCATTTTCAGGTTTGGTGCATTAATGGTAGTGCGAAGACGGCAGTTCCTAAAGAAGACATTGGTAAGTTCTACAGCGGAGATTGTTATATTGTCCTCTACTCCTACCACTCGTATGATAAGAAAGAAGATTACTACTTGTGCTATTGGATTGGGAAGGATAGTGTGGAGGTAATGTATTTTTCTCTTCTGCGCTTGAATGGAAGGGTGTTCTTTACGCTGCATCTTTCTTCATCTTCTTTTTTATTCAGTTTATTTCTGTAAAAATGTGACCCCACTTATTGAGATCTTCTTCTTGTTGTAAAAAAGAAAAAACAAAAACTGTGTCTATGTGTTCCTTTCCTCCGATTCTGGCATATCTTTGTTATTAATCATCTTCCCTTGGAAGCCAAGGTGAAAATGCATTGGCCAAATGTAGAGTTATTAACACCAATGCAACTTGTAGTGTCCATTTTTAATGCATATGATTTCCACTTTATTGGAGTATTTTCTGTTAAATGTTTGAATCAGCATGCATTCTTTAATTAGACTCCATTGTCCAAAAAGGAGTGCTTGGAAAGATCATGATAAATTCATCAACTCATGCTGGTGATAGGTGATTCTTGCATAATGATAATTATTCCACTTGATACTGTATTTTTTAAATTTTTGGGTAAATAATACGGTGATTGCTCAAGTATTAATAACAAATATATGTTTTGGGTTTTAGGAAGACCAAAATACTGCTGCCAGTCTGGCTACCGCCATGTGCAACTCCTTGAAGGGAAGACCCGTACTGGTATGATCATTGCTTTTGTGAGAATCATATTATCTCTCTCTCTCTCGCTCTCGCTCTCTCTCTCGTTTCTATCTCTTTCCAGTTTGAAATTTGCATCTAGTAATCAGACTATGATGTACATATTGTAGGGTCGGATATTTCAAGGGAAAGAACCACCACAGTTTGTTGCTATTTTCCAGCCAATGGTGATATTTAAGGTACCATGTTTCTAATATGCAATTTTTTTGTTATTTAAGTTTTTTCTAATAAGTGGGGGGAGGGGGTGAATTTAGAGATTTTGGAGTTTTTGAATATTAAGGATTTATCCGTCTTGTAAATGAGGGAGCTGATAAATCTCTGACGTAGAGATTCAGGCTGGTTGAAGTCAACAAATTAGTGCTTTATGAAGTAAAGCACCATTGAAATTTAATCGGGATGGACCAGAGAGTTGTGTGGCTAAAGAATGAGAAAATTGGCATTAGGAAAAATGAGTACGTTGAGATGGATGTCTAAACGCAAGAATGAAAATATAATGTGTTGGGGAAAAGACCAAGGGCGTTGAGAAAATGAAATAATCACTCGTAAGGCTGTTTTGACTTGTAGATGCTCTAGTACTGTGAGTCAAAAGTTGGAGTTATTCACTCAAATTAGGAAGAGATTGGAAGACCTAACAGTTTCTCTGCATTTTCTGCTTAATTGCAGGGTGGAATTAGCTCTGGGTATAAAAACTACGTTGCAGACAAAGGTTTAAATGATGAAACTTACACTTCGGAGTCTGTTGCACTTATTCGAATATCTGGAACTGCGGTGCACAAGAACATAGTTGTTCAAGTTGACCCGGTATGCTTCATCTTGCCAAGATTTTGTCAACATAGGATTTTTCACTTTCACTTGGGACATCCCAGTCTCTTGATGTTTGCTTATGATCACCTTTATGATTTTTGTATCCGTTATTGAGATGCCATTTTTCTTTGGCTTTTCCCTCTGGCCTATTACTAGATGGAAATCTTAGATTTAGGTCTTCAAATGTATTTCAAGAAACTTTTCTGCTCTCAGCCCGGCTCGTATTTGTATTTCACTATCTTCCCTCGTGCACATTTCATTTGAGTTGGCGTGTGCATGTGATTTGCATTGGAAGTCTTTGTGGGTTTTGATGTACTGGTTGCTTATGTGGGCTTTTATCTTTGGACCATTTATTGCAATTTCTACTATTTTCCTGTTTTATTTCGATTGGAATTGTAATTGATACTTAGTTGGTAGATTAATGCACATTTGTGTTCATTTCAGGTTGCAACATCACTCAACACGAATGAGTGCTTCCTCCTACAATCATCATCTTCATTATTCAGTTGGCAAGGTAGTCAGAGTACATTCGAGCAGCAACAGTTAGCTGCTACAGTTGCTGAGTTCTTGAAGGTATGCATATAGTACAGTTTCTGAAATTTCTTACCTAAATCCAACCTTGAGTATGAAGTACTGTTTTTTCCTTGAGAATATTTTGGACATGACTACAAATTGAGGAAAACTCCGTTTTTCTTATGCTCTAAAATGTGAGAAGAATCAGTGACCATTACTTTCTAGAGTAGTAGAGGTGAGGATTTGAAATTGGCAACAGCCACTTATGCGTCCCTTTTGAGATATTAATAATGTGATGTTGACAAAAGAAGTATTATAAAATTGTACTTCATAAAGGCCAATACTGTTGCAAGTTACCAGTTCGCTCGGCTTGTTCGGTACTTTGATGAGAAGTTTACAAAACTCGATCAGATATAAATGAGGGCCAAATCATGGGTCTTGAATGCATCTAAAGAACGATTACAGTGTGTAAAATTCCAACTGATGCCATTTCCCATTTAATGTGTTATTTTATACACCTGCTACCTACATTTGGAGTGCTATATATTATCAGGGATAGACCTACAAGCCTTATTTTAAATTAGAAAGTGCCACACATCTGCTGAGGCAATTCTCAGTATCGGAGGATGTGGAAATAACACTATGCGTAGGTCGCAGTAACTGTGGACATGTCTGTATTTGCTCATTGGAAGGGTTTATCTTATGACGGGGAACAATAAAAGATGCAAATGGATAAGTTAGAGAACAATGACAGATATTTAAGCTTAATAGTAGTTTTATGATCCCCTTTTTTAAAAATATTATTATAATCTCATCCACCTCTTTTCTTCATTAAAATCTCAAGCGATTCAATGAATCCTTGTATCCCGGAACTTTTCTGTGAGTAACCTAGCAATTGAACTTGCTTCTAATTTTCAGCCTGCAGCAACTATAAAGCATACTAAAGAAGGAACTGAGAGCTCGGCTTTCTGGTTTGCTCTTGGAGGGAAACAAAGTTATACTAGCAAGAAAATAGCTCCTGAGGTTGTGAGAGAACCTCACTTGTTCACATTTTCATATCACAAAGGTTGCTTCTTTTGACCTAGCTTCAAGCTCTCCATCCTTTAAGTGATATTTTTTAAAAATTCTGAGGTCATCTGACTGTTCTTTTGTTGATGTGGATTTTCAGGGAAATTCCAGGTACATCTTTTACTCTGAAATTCCTTGCAGATCTGCTTTATGGATTCATAATTAACATGTGGTTATTTGCATACAGATTGAGGAGGTTTACAATTTTTCCCAGGATGATTTGTTGACTGAGGATATTTTAGTTCTCGACACGCATGCTGAAGTATTTGTTTGGGTTGGTCAGTCAGTAGAAACAAAAGAAAAGCAAGCTGCTTTTGAAGTTGGCCAGGTATATCCAATAATGCTGTTTGCATTTAACATATCAATTGGGTTGTGTTCGTTATGCTGTAGAAGTGATTATATGCTTATTTTAGAAATATGTGGAGTTGGCTGCATCCTTGGAGGGGCTGCCTCCAAAGGTTCCTTTATACAAAGTTACAGAAGGAAACGAGCCCTGCTTCTTTACAACGTATTTTTCATGGGATCCTGCAAAAGCTATGGTATGCCGAAAAAATCATCTTTGTTTTTTTTAGACCTGATGCTCCCTTTTCGTTAAAGTATCATGTGTTCTGTTGTGGGATTTGTGAAACGTTTGCATGTTATAAAGCAAAATGTGATTGTTAATGAATATCTGATTACTGGCTCATGAAAGGGTGTTTGGTTTATGATTCACTAACTGGGTTCGTTTTTAGTATTTCCTTGATTTTGTTTGGATTTAATTTATCCAGATAGCTGCAGAATGGTTAGATGTAGATTGTGGTTTCCGTTTTCCAATATTGGTTCTTTGGTGATAGAAATTTTTATTTGGGGAAAGAGAGAGATTAATTATTTGCTGTATAGTTGTTGTTTCCAATAAGGTTGGAGTCTCTGGTGGTGATGCAAATTATTTTGTGGTGCTAATTTGGAGGCATGAGTTGAATGACCCTCTCCAGTTCTCCTAGTGTTAATCAAAGAACTGGCTGAATTTCGTTTGTTACCAAAATCAAGTTTTATATTCTGGGTAGTCTATAGTTAGATTGATCCACCATACGCATGGAGTTGAGTAACAGTAATATCCTGTGAAAGCTGGAAGCATCATCTGATTGGGAAATTTGTCCATGTCAAGAGGACGCCATTTACCCTTTTTATGTATCTAATGAATCTCACTAATATACAAAGGTTGTTACATAGGTGCTTTGTAGTCTCCAAGTTGCTTATTTTGAAATTACACTTAGACTGTACATGTATTGAAAATTGCGTGACCATTAAATTCTCTTACATTAATTTCTCTGTTCTTAAACTACATATTATCTGGATTTAGCCCTTGAAGTGCAGTATCATGTTGACATGAGATGCCATGGCTACTTAATCGTTATCCCCGCAAAATTCTTGGTCAAAGAAAAGTTGAACCTTTTGAGTTTCCATCGCCAATTGAAAAATGTAGCAGTTTCTAATAGTTTAATCTGGAAAGTTCTTTACACGGTAACCAAAAAATTAGCATGGTTTTCTTGAGGTGGATTTCAAGCATTTACACTTTCAGCCAAAGTATTTATGCTTGATGATTGTTGCATCCGCTTTATGTTTATTATGCTTTCTTAAACAAGGGTCTTGAATTTCATTGGAAACTTTATGTTATGGCCATGATTATTTTCTTTATTATGCTTTCTTAAACAAGGATCTTGAATTTCATTGGAAACTTTATGTTGTTACGGCCATGATTATTTCCTTTTTCTTTTTTTTATTTTTTTTATTTTTATTTGTGAGAAATAGAAGACAGTGAGATCACTCACTCATTTTTTTTTTTTTGTTCTAATATTTATTTTTTGCAATGCCACTCTTACGATAGGCAGACATGAACGCCACGGAATGGCTCTTGACTGCAACTTACGAATCAAAACTTAATTTAATGATATAGATTCCTGCGCTGGAATGTTATTAATTATCTTTGGATGCAACAGGCACATGGAAATTCATTCCAAAAGAAAGTTTTGCTGCTGTTTGGTGATGGTCATGCTCCAGAGGTAAGCTTTCTAGTTTATGATATGCTTGGGCAATTCTATCTAGAGATCTTTGTTCAGTTTAAATGCTTAAGTTCCTGATCATTCAAAATATATATCTATCTTCAATTTTTTCATGGTTTGGATAATGGTCATATGTACTTTGTCAACTATGTTATGAACTGATATGACAAAATCACCGCATATGATGGGAATTGTTGGGAAGTGTAAGGTGCTATGATATCTGTTTTTTTTTTGTTGGCTTCTCTTTGTGTTAAATCTGCTTGTCAGCCTTACTTTCACCCAGGTTTATCTATCCATGTTTAATAGTAACATCATCTGCCCTCTCTACATATTTGTATATTGTTATGAAGCTCTACATATTTTTTGTTTAATAAATGGCTTGGTACCTGCCGCATGTGTCTGGTTTCTTCACTTTTTTATGGCCCGTGTTCTTATCCTTTTTTTTTTCTTTTGGGATATCCGTTATGGTGTGTTTCTAGTTTCTTTTTATTGCGAAGGCCAATGTTTATTTCCTCTAGTTCGTATGCATTATCCTGATCCCCATCTTTTGTCAGCCATCTCAGCTATTTCTTTTAAATACTTCCAGAGCAATCTCTGTTTCTGAATCTTGTTTAAAAGAACTTTTTGAATGAGAATAGGAATGCTAGATTTTAAAATTTTAGCGGTTGGATTTTAAAGCTGATCAGTTATAGAGTACCTTGGTTTTATTAAAGCTTCCTTTTGGTGGTTGCTGGAATTTCTAAAACCATAGCTGTTTGAGATTTCCTTTTGGCTTCCCTGTGAGCAGGAACGCTCCAATGGTAATCAGGGAGGACCAACTCAAAGAGCTTCCGCATTAGCTGCATTAAACTCTGCATTTAATTCATCTTCTTCCCCAAAGTCTCCTCCGAATGCAAGGGTAGGAGGAGCCAGTGGGGGATCACAACGAGCAGCTGCTGTTGCTGCTTTATCTTCTGTACTTACTGCTGAGAAGAAGCGGTCACCTGAATCTTCTCCAGCTCGACCTGGCCGCAGTCCAATGTCGGAGTCCAGCAGTCCTGGTAAGTAGATAAACTGTACCTTTCACATTTGCATTCTCGTGACACCCCAGACAAACACTCCCTCCCCTCTTCCTTTTCCCCCTCCCTTGAAATGGGGGAGATAATTTCATATCCATTGCCAGAGGGTTTGGAGGTTCTTCAGTTACAATTGCCTTCATCAAACTTGAGGGGATAACTGTCAAACGTCTCCTCTTTTCCTTATTTTATAACTCAGACCTGAGACTATTGTTCTGTTGCATGGGTAACCTCTCATACTACGAAGGAAAAAATCTAGCCTGTTGTACACTTTTAGGGAATTATATGGCCTAGGTTCTGTTTTGTTAATGTCTGAACGAGAGCTTTTACAAAACCTCTCCTTTTGGTTTGTCTTGCATCTCTTCGTCTTTATCTACTACTTGTTAAACCTGGAAAACTATAACTGGTGAATGTAGTAGTCTCAAAATGCATGAAACCCGAGCTCTTTTAAATTCTTATAATGATGGTCCTCATGTCATCTATGAGTATGAGTTCTAATCCAATCATGTTTGCAGCGGGTTTCAAGAGTGCAAATGATCCGGATGTCAACGATTCCAAAGAAGGTTCAGAAGCTGGGAGTGAGATAGTTGAGCCTGCAGTTGAGACCAATGGAGATGACCCAGAACCAAAACCAGCTGCCGAGGAGGATGAGAATGGTGGTGAAAGTACTCAAAGTACATTTAGTTACGAAAGGCTGAAGGCTAAATCTGATAATCCTGTTACCGGCATTGATTTCAAGCGCAGAGAGGTTGGTTCATTGGTCTACAATTTAGGAAGCAGTTGTTCGTTCTGACACTGTTATTTTTGTTGTGTTTATGTATTTAGTTACAGTTTGTGGTATAAATGGTGACTAGTGATTTCCTTGATTCCAGGCTTATCTATCTGATGAAGAGTTCCAGGCTGTGTTTGGGATGACAAAGGAAGCATTCTACAAATTGCCAAGGTGGAAGCAAGATATGCACAAAAAGAAAGCTGATCTCTTTTAGATACAGGAGTAAACCAACCAAATGAAAATCTACTCCGTTTAAATATACTTGCAATCTTCGGTGTTGATGTCTTATGCACCAAAGCAGCCTGCTTTTATAGGTATTGCTTGCCTAGTTTGCGCCTCTAGCATTGTATTTTTCTTCAGTAAAACGACGGCAGCTGGTGTTAGTATGGGCTTTTTGATTTTGTGGTGCTAGCTTTAAATATGCTGATTTGTTTTCCCTTTAGCACTGCTGGATTTGTCAATTTTCCAGAGATTAGAGTTCGAAGACAAGAGTGCCATATTCTTTGATTTGGTTGGTGTGTGTATCTTAAATTGTGATTTATTGGGGGATCCATCCATCTGTTGCATACTATTCAATTCTCTCATGTATTCTTCACCATTTTTTGGATGATGGATGTGTTGTATATTTGTACTGCTATAATCAAAGAGTAAAAAAGTAAATTTGCTATCTAGTTTCATATTTGTTTTATGTTGTCTTTAGCTGGAAGATCAGCAAACTCGACATCTTCAATGTTTCATTGTTTCGTAGAGTTCTCAAGGCCTGGCTCCCAGGGTTACTTTGATTTCTGCTAATAAGATGTGGGTCAAAAAATATCATGTGATTTGGAAATTGAGTTTCATAGCAATTCCTGTATGTTAGCAAAATGCTTGATGGTTCGAGTCCTCATTCTTGCAGTGGAATCACTGTTGGCGGCATTCTGCATCATTGTTTTCCCTTACTGGCTACGGTTATCTGATTAATGGAACTTGTATTCGACAGTGTCAGCTTTCCTATGATCCTATCCTGGAACTTTAATTTGTACACATTAACTTGTGCTTCAGCGTGTCTGGCGTGAAAGAACAATTAAACCCTCGTTAATATCAGCTACTCATCTTTGGCAGTGGTGATACAGTATACTACTGATAGATTAGTTTGCAAGCGGAAATTTCAAAAATACTGCACGGTGGATTTCAAGCTACTGATAGATTGTGTTGGATGTTAGGGCCAACTCTAAAGGTATAGTTTAGGTTTGACATGTGGGATTTTACATTTTCATTTTATTTTTATAACGGAATAGTTTCAATGAGCTATGATTTTGTGATAATAATAATTTCTATCTATCCTTATGCTTATCTTATCAGCGAATTGGTTTCATTTTATTTCAAAATTTCTTTTCAGTTGGGTTGCTGATTTTAGAGTTTTTGGAGAGGAAGAGTATGTGAGAGATTGGCCTTTTGGCAAGCAAAAATTAGCAGAATTATCTCACTGAGACACTGACATCCTAAAAAAAAAAAAATAAATAAAAAAAATCATGAAGTAGATAGGATCCCCAATGCCAATTTTTTTTTTTTATAAGCAGGTTACTGAACAGCTCCTCATATACCTCCCGTGTCAAGTGTTTCATAGAGAATAACAATGCATTCTAAGAAATAATTTACAAGAAAAAGTGAAAGATTGATGTAGATTAAATCAGGATTCATTTATTTTTTTGCACTTTTTAATTACGCATTTTTAGGGAGATAAATGAGATTAAAGCCACATCATCTTCTGCCATTTTTTAATTTTTTTTTCCCTATATGTATCACTTTTGTTTGAAAAAAAAGAAAAAAGAAATACGCTTTCACAAAATACGCCTTTGTGTATGATTTTTTTTTTTTTAATAAAAAAACTTGTTGCCTCGTCAAAAGAATGTTTTGAACGATCATTTCTGTGCCAATTACCTAGAGTATACGAATGCAACAAATTATGGAAACCCATTCGTTAAACTATAATAGTACAACATGTGTATACTACCTTTGTTTGTTCGTTGTTTTTTTTTTTTGTTTTTTTTTTTGTGGGGGTTGGGATTAAGGAAACTTATTTATTTGGATGGTATAATAATGTTGGAAAACATTTTAACTTTTGGATGTGTGATCCACGTGAGGTTCCCAAATTAGAATTGTAATACTCCTTCCGGTTCTTAATATAAGCCATTTTGATTTGTCTTAGGTGTCACCTAGTATGTATTTTTAATTGAGAAAAAAAATCTTAAAAACATATTTTCACATTCGTTATGTTCTCTTTAATGTTATGAAATATTTTTAAGGTTTTTTTGTCGATTAAAAATGCGTATTATGTGAAACCTATGACAAAATCAAAATACTTTATATTAAGAACTGGAGAGAGAGTACTTTATTAATAAGAAAACATATATTTTGATACACCTTATTCGAAGTTCGTTATTGAAGGGATGTGATGATGTAGTCAACAGCTTTTATGCTTTTATCTTTCTATTGCTTCCGTCGTTCAATTTTATATAATAATTATTAATTTGCGTCCTTTTTGGTCGGTTTGTACTATGATTACTGTTCCACAAGTTTTTTTCCCCCACTTTCCATAATTCATTCGATCAACTGTTGCAGTAAACCCTTTTTAGAACTTTCAGATTTCTAATAATGTAGTTGAATGGTCTCAAAAGCAGGGATGGAATCCAAAACAATACTACAATTTCTATTACTAGATGTTAAATCCGCACGATGTACAGGGTTTATTTATGTATATTTTTAAAAAATACGATATGAAATACAATCATCTTTATATCGTAATATCCTAATAAAATATTACGATATGAAATGCAAGTATTGACTTAATGGAAACATAAACCTTTGTTCATTCTTGTAATCATCACCTCCAACTTGCTTGTTTTTCTAATTTTTTCACACACCTGCATAATTAAATTAAAAGAAAAATAATCCAAGCATGTTAAGTTATAAATAATTACAAAAAAGAATTATACCATTCTTCTTCATATGAATACACACACAGTCACGATTTCGAGTGGAATACCAATAACCGATTGAGTCTTATATAGGTAGTACATGGGATATGAGCGCTCAAGTGTGTTTGGTTTAGATGAGATTTCTTTTTTAAATTTAAGTGTGATAAGTAATAACATTCCAAATTCAAATTTGATAAAATAACGTAATTCATGGAACCGGATAGAGAGGAATCATAATTAAATTATTTATGGTCGTTATTTACAATCATCTTTATTAGTTTTGAATGTGTAGTTGGGAAAGTATAGTAGTTTTAGGGATTGATTTCTATTTATAATTAAAAGCAAAAAAAATACTATGGCATATTATTTAATTTTGAATTCAAAAAATATTATTTCCTTACGGATGACAATAAACTTTTAAATTTTAAATTAATGCAGAAATTTGATTTACGTGCTTAGTTTTTCCTCTTTTTAATTACTTTATAATTTGAGGACTTATTTCTAATTTTATTAAGTTTATTTTAGAAGAGGTTTTATAAAATGACACATAGAATTTGCAATTAAAGAATTGCTGATAATTTTGGATTAATTATTTTTGAATTTCAAAAAATTATTAATATTATTTATGATCAAATCAATATGTAATGGCATTATTCAAGCTAATTGGAGAATCTTTTCAAATCAATCAGATTTAATGTTAAATCAAATAAATGTTTACCTTTTTTATATGACACTTAATGAAAAAACCCATTAATGTTGCTTTTTAAAAAAAGTTTCCGTTTTCTTTTTCATTTCACCAAATATAAAATAGAAAGTTTACCACACAATTAATTGATATACTTTAATTACGAATTGATAACAATTGTTTAACTGAGAATTTAAAGTACTATTAGTATAATTGTTGTAAATATTTTTTACGTTAACCTATAGGAAAATGACATATAGAATTTTGTCCTATGTGTCAACGTGAGAAGAAGTTTGATTTTCTCTCTCTGGTTTCTCTCTTAGTATAATACTATAGATTATGAGAAGTAAAAGGGTTAGGAAAGTGTCTTTTGGATTTGGTGATCTTTGAAGTTCTAACTGAATAATTTTCTACAAAATTAGTCTTTTCCCTTACTTTTCCCAAAATATATAGGATTTTAATTTAACTAAACGCGCGACACATTTTAATCTTATAAGTTAATGAAATGTGTTACTTAGCCTTCAAATTTGGTTTTGCATTAGCCTCTTTTAACTGCGAGCTATCGATCTAGATTTAAGGCAGCTTAGGAGATCCAATTCCAAATAGTGAACAAAGCCTTAAACCAAAATAAAAACACCATGAAATCAAACATTTTGAACACATAAGAATAGAAGGAAAAAAAAAAAAGAAGAAAAAAGACGTTAAGCTTTAGAAGCATTTACATGCGTCCGTTTCTAGGCTTTTCTTTTTTTTTGTTCGGAGAGAGGGGGTGTTTTTCTTGGCTTTTTTGGCTATTGCAAATACTCCAGATTCCATTATGTTTTGGAAAAAGCAGTGACATCCTCTATTATTGTTTCCTTTCTGAAAAATTAAATAAAAAAACTTATTGATAAGCCAAGCATTGTAAACAGAAAAATACATCGAACCAAAGTAGGCAATATATAGATTGCATTATTCAAATTGAAAGAGTAAGATTTTGGTACTGGCATGCTCCATATGTAGTTTTTTAGTAAGCGGAACAACGAACATGGTTGAATTCGATTTGGAGAGAAGATAGTCAAGAAGGGCTTAAAGCAAAAGGCACACAAAAGTTACACGGCTGAATTGGCACACAGTAAGACATTGCGTTTGAATAATTCAAATTATATATGGTCCGCAATTAAGACATTTCTATTTGTACTTAACCTTGCGATTGCCTTCACATACAACACAGTAAAAGGAAACTTTCGGTTCCAAACCAAAACCGGAACCGGTGTCTCAAGGTTCGGTTATGGTTCCCATCTTTGCGGTTTCAGAAACGCCGGTTTCAAAACAGAAACTGCCGGTTCTGGACCGTAATTTGTTAGGGCATGTACAGACTGTATATGCCTTAATACGACAGATAACAAAACAGAGGTAGTAATTTGTAATGCTTAGCACAACCGTCCATCTTTTCTAAATTTTAATGTCATTTACGTTGTAGCTCAACCGTCCATCTTCCACTGATGAGTTTCAGTATAAATCACATTTACAAGACAAAGTTTCAAACTGAGTTTAATTGAAAGTAAAATTGTATTTATATTATTATGAGTATTCATTACATCATGAAAATACATGAGAACTTAAAACTAATTACACATCTCTCTATTATTTACTGTCATAAAATAACTGTCTACGACAATTGTTGCGAGAAGAATGAAGTATAACATCATGAAAATTATTCGCAGTGACACTGCTAGCTCTTCAGCGAAACTGGATTTGAAGGATTGAACTGTGCAACATTGGTAACATGGCAAAGAAGCGGATGAACCATGCCACTAGAAAAACCTGTCCCTTCTTCCATGTTTAGCATATCCCCTCCTTCAATCACAAAGTCAAAACACTGAACAAGTGTCGCAACAAGGACTTGAATGGCTGATAATGCAAGAGAAGCACCAGGACAACCTCTTCTTCCAGTTCCAAAAGGGAAAAGGCTGAAATTCTGACCTTTCAAATCCATCTGATACTGACTATATTGTTTATGATTTTTAGTGAATCTTTCTGGGATGAACTCGAGAGGATTTTCCCAACAGTTGGGATCTCTCATGATGGCATTCAGATTGATTATTACCTGTTCTTTCGCGAGTATATCCTAACCATTAATCTTGCAATCTTGATCGCATCTTCGTATTAGTAGTGGTACTGCAGGATGTAACCTTAGAGTTTCTTTAACAACTGCTTGCAAGTATGGAAGGTTTGGAATGTCCGATTCCTCGACTAGCCTTTTACTTCCTACAACTCCATTGATTTCTTCTCTGAGCTTCTTCAAGATGCTTTGATGGTTTATTACTTCTGCCATTGTCCATTCCAATACTACACTAGTAGTGTTGGTTGCCCCGACAAATAGTTCCTGTTGCAATTTTAGATGGATAAAGTAATCAATTCTTTCCTTTCCTCCCTCTGTTTCTAGAAAGTTATTCATTTCAGAATTTTATTTTTAGAAAGTACTAATAAGCAGTCCATCCCAAACAATCCAAATGAATTTTTCTAGGATATAACTCTAGAAGCCCATGGGGTTTCACCTCAAAACCAATTGACAATGAGGGGAGTAGCCCATAGAGCTTATCTATTGATACTCAGAGTCTCCCAACACTGATTTGGGATTGGGACTCTTTAATACTTCCCCGTAAGCCTAACGTATTTTTTTTGGGTTGGGCTTGTCTTATTTTTTCAATCTAGGCACCGTCTCACGTATCAGTCCTATTTTCTTTCTTGGGCTTTTTGGAATCCGAATGTCGGCGGACTGACTCTAATATCATATAGAAGTCCATGAGGTTCCATCTCAAAACCAATTGGCACTGAGAGGAATAGTCCATAGAGCTTATATATTGATACTCAGAGTCTCCCAACACCGACGTGGAATTGAGACTCTTTAATAATAATATCCCTTCCCGAATCAATTTGCCTAAAAGTCATTCATATATCAAGGGGATATATACATGATGTTTATTAAAGAATATCATAATTAGAATAATATGTAACTGAAATTATAATGAAGCCATGTCATGAAACCATATGATTAGACAAATGTTTATTTTACAAGCTTCTGAAAATTTATCAACCGAATAAGTTAATAACCATCCCCTAAGAATTAAATAGCTACTGCAGATTGTTGATTATAAAAAACGTAAAACCATTTTTGGAGTGAAAGAGTAATTCCATTTGTACGTGTAAGAGGAAATAGAGGTGACTCACCAATATAAAGGACTTGATTTGCGTTCTGGTCAATTGCATTTCAGCATTTTCATCCCTACAAATCTCCAACAGAATATGCATGAGATCTTTCTTCCTGTCCTTATTACCAGACGTCAAATCCAGCTCATGTTGAACAATTAACTTCTCCACAAATTCATCAAACTCCAAGAACAACTCCTTCAGCTTTCTCCCATATCCAAATAAATCAAATTTGCTCGCATACGGACCCGTCGACAATTCGCCCACACTAAGTTTCAGTGCCAATGTTTCCATCCCTTTCACAATCTTCAACACCTAACCGGACAAAAAAGGGGAAAAAAAAAGAAGTCAAGATTAAATTGATCAGATAGACGGGAACAAAATTTTACGGCTACAAAATTTATTACGTGAGATGATACAGTGTGTGACAAAATAAAAGAAAGTGTGATATAATATTTTCATGAGTCTTCAACATACATGCACATATAAAAATACTCCCTCTGTCAAAAATATATTGTCTAGTTTAGATTTCAATTTTAAATCAAATTGTGTTGAGAGTGAAAATTTAAATTGAACAATACTTTTGAGACAGAAGGAGTATATCTTTATCTCGCTCAAAACCGTATAATTCCCCTCCTCTCCCCCCCCCAACCCCCTTTTTACCTTTTCATATTTGCAAGGTGTGGATCAGTGACAATATAATAACTAATCATTCGTATCATGGAAACCTCCAATAATTATGAAAAAGGCCAAATAATCAAAGAACAAAACATACAAAAAGACCTGTATATATATATATACCTTCTCACTTTCATCATCACTTCCAGAACATCTAGTACTCATAGCCATCCTGCATATGTTATTATTAGTCAACCTCGTAAGTTCCTTCCTGAGATCACAAACTTTCCCTTCTTCCGAACACCGGAAAAGATTTTCCAGCAGCTTCATCCTCTCCTCCGTCCGAATATGCGCAAAACGGGCAATTTGCGGAGCTGAAAGAAGCTCCGTCATGCATAGTTTCTTCAAGAATCGCCAGTAAGCCCCGTATTCCGCGAACGTGAACGAGGTGCCCTTGTATATATTGTATTCCGGCGATCCGATGTCCGGCCTCGAGACGAAACTCATCTCGTTATCTTTTAACATTTCCCTGGCTATGGCGGAATTGGAAACCACGACTGCGGTTACTGAAGCCATTTTGATTCTTATTATGGGACCATAACTTTTGGCTAAGGACTGGAACGATTTGGATACCCCTGATCGGAGGAGATGGAGATGGCCGATGACGGGCAGTGCCGGCGGGCTAGGAGGGCGCCGGAGTGCTGGTGTGGAGGATTTCCGAGTGATGGAAAGGAAAAATTTGATTGAGAAGAAGCAAAGAACAAATAAGGGAAGATAATAAACTTTTTGAGACGATGAGATCCATAGCTTCATGAAACAATAATGACTTATGAAATGACCTTTTTGAAGCTCTATTTATTGGGGTTCTATACTCTTGTTTTGTCTTTGATTAATTGAGATAATAAAATTTAACGAGTATACCCTCGGATTGGTCTCTTACACAGTTGGTCAAATTCACATTTTGATCCCAAACATTATTTAACTGGAATCATTCTAAATATTATAATTCATAATTTTTTTTAATCCCAATTCACTGTTTTGATAACTTTTTTGTTCGATTGACAGTGGAGCCAAATGCAGGTAAGGGTATTTTTGGATATTTTTGATATTGTGAAATTTTCAGAAAAATAAAAATTCTAAAATATTAACTTTTTTTAGCTGACTGGCTGGAAGTTACAATTTCAAATAATCGAAAATTGATTATGTCACTGACAACCGTGATGACATTAGTAGCAAATGGAGTAAAAATATTCCTTTTTTTTTAATCCTAATTCACTGTTTGGTTATCTTTTTCCTTCTGTTCACAAAGAGGTACAAGTATTTTGGGTACTTACAAAATTTTCAGAAAATTAAAATTCTTAGATAACCTAAAAGGCTAAAATGGAGGAAAACGTAATGGCATTGTAGGGGTTCGCACCCAAAACTTCTTGCATGAAACACAGTAATCAACCACCGGGTCAACCAAACACTTACAATTTTTTGAAACTAACTAGAGTATAAAATTTAATCAACATCATATTGTTTTATGCACGATTTTACTGGAATTATTCTAAATTCATTTAAAAATATTTTCAATAGTGTTTGAGTTATTTTGAATATAGTAACACAATTATAAGTTGTGTCTATTGATTCTAACAAAAAGTTTTAGTGTAATACTGTAACTAAGGGTTGTGCCTAAGGCTTGTTTCGATAATCACCTACTTAGAATAGGGAAATTGTATTTCATTGTTGATGTATTGTGCACAATATACACACTATATTTAGACAATAAAAAACCCTAATCTAGGATATAATAGGAAATATACTAAATATTATAATACGCCCCCGCAAACTTATGGCGGAGAAGAGAGAAGCCGAAGTTTGTCCCGAAATCGAAAGAATAACTCTTTGGACAAGGGTTTTGTCAGAATATCAGCGAGCTGATCAGCAGCAGAGATAGAATTGACCGAAACAAACTTACGCCGAACATGATCTCGAACAAAGTGAAAATCAACCTCAACATGTCTTGTACGAGCATGGAACACAGGATTGACAGCAAGGAAAACTGCACTACTGTTGTCACACCAAATAGAGGGAGGGCGATTTAAAGAAACGCCTAACTCGGACAACAGATGACACACCCAATGCAGTTCAACACAGACATTAGCAACCGCACGAAACTCAGCCTCAGTAGACGAGCGAGCCACAGTGGGTTGCTTCCTAGACGCCCATGCAATGAGATTAGGTCCCAAATAAATGAGAAAACCAGTAGTAGAACGACGATCATCCGGACAACCAGCCCAGTCAGCATCACTAAATGCAGTAAGAGTACCCAAATCTGTAGGATGCAGAACTAAATAGTAATCAACGGTACAACGAAAATAGCGAAGAACCCGTTTGAGAGCCTGAAAATGAGAAGTGCGAGGCTGATGCATGAACTGACAAAGTTTATTAACCGCAAAGGAGATATCTGGACGAGTGAGAGTGGTATACTGGAGACTGCCACACAGCCGACGATAAGTAGTCGCATCATCAGGAGACAACAGAGTACCATCCAAACGGGACAACACAACATTAGCCTGCAAAGGAGTGGAAACAGGTTTGCAAGTATGCATGTTTGCAAGTCGCAGCAAATCAGTGACATACTTGCGCTGAGAGAGAAGCAAACCCTTGGAAGTATGACGAACCTCGACCCCAAGAAAGTAACTCAATGAACCTAAATCAGGAAGAGAAAACTCCTTAGCAAGACAAGAGATAAAATACTGGACCAAACCAGAAGTGCTGCCTGTAAGAATAATGTCATCCACATAGACCAGCAAAAAACACAACTGAGACCCACGGCGATAGACAAAAGGAGACGGATCACAATGAGACTCCACAAAACCCAAAGTAAGTAGAAATGCTGCCAGACGAGAATACCAAGCCCGAGGAGCTTGCTTAAGACCATATAAGGACTTATGCAGTTTACACACATAATGAGGGCGCACCGGATCAACAAACCCCTGTGGCTGAACCATATACACGGTCTCACTTAGAACACCATTAAGAAAGGCATTACTGACATCAAGCTGAGAAATCGACCATCCACGAGCCAAGGCAACAGTCAAAACCGAACGAATGGTGACCGGCTTAACAACCGGACTAAATGTGTCAGTGTAATCAACCCCAAAAGACTGAGTAAAACCTCGAGCCACCAACCGAGCCTTATACCGCTCAATGGAGCCATCAGCATGAGTTTTAATCTTATAGAGCCATCGATTGCCGACAACATTGCCGGAGGAAGGAGGGAGAACTAAAGTCCATGTGTTATTTTTGAGGAGGGCGGAAATTTCATCCTTCATGGCATTCTGCCACTGAGGAAGAGATTTGGCTTGAGTGAAGGATGTAGGAGCAGTAGACAAGACTGAGGAAACAGAGGTAAGATGAGCCGAGGGATCAAAGATTTTCTTGGGCTTGGGTTGTGGACGAAGTGTCATTGAGTGCTGACGAGAAGAAGGAGGAGGAGGTGGCGGCGGAGGACTGCAATCAGATGATGAAGAGCTGGATGCAGGAGACCTAGCTAAAGGTGATGAATCGGGAGGGATAGGAGGAGACGAAAGAACTGTTGTACCAGAAGGAGACGAAGAAGACGCAGAAGACGACACAAGCATACCAGGAGAACTGGTTACACGCAACCAAGGGGTAGCAGGAGACTTCAGCAGTGAAGAAGAAGAACTAGAAAGAGGATGTTTAAAGGGGAAGAGTTTCTCATCAAACTCAACGTGACGAGCAACATAAAGACGGTTATTCACCAGATCAAAACAGCGATAACCAAGATGAGATGGAGAATACCCAAGAAAGACACAATGAGTAGAACGAAAGGAGAATTTATGTTTATTATAAGGGCGAAGAAGAGGATAGACAGCGCAACCAAAGACACGAAGAAAGGTATAATCAGGTGGCTGGTGATACAGTGTAGTGAAGGGTAGGTGACCTTGAAGAGGTTTACTAGGGTGGCGATTAATCAAAAACACAGCAGTTTCAAAAGCAAAATCCCAAAACAGAAAGGGGGTACTGGAATGGCCAAGGAGAGCAAGTCCAATGTCGACAATGTGACGAATTTTGCGTTCAGCAGTGCCATTCTGCTCATGAGTGTGTGGGCATGCTAAACGATGAACAATACCGACATCCTTAAAGAAAGAATTGAGAGAACGAAATTCACCACCCCAATCAGAGTTAACACTTTTAATGGTAGTGCCAAATTGGTTTTCTACGAGAGCTTTGAATTGCTTGAAAACATGGACAACATCACTTTTATACTTAATGGGATAAATCCATGTGAATAAAGAGAAGTCATCAATAAAAAGCACAAAGTAGCGATAACCATTGAATGACAAAATAGGAGCAGGACTCCAAACATCAGTGTGAATTAACTCAAGAGGTTTAGAACTACGATGAAAAGTAGAAGGTAAACTGACCCTATGTAACTTCCCTAAACAACACGCCTCACATTTATCAGTGGACGTGGACACTGAGGAATAAGGAAGTTAAAACTGCCTAACCAAAGTACGAAGAGTGACATTATTAGGGTGCCCTAAACGAGCATGCCACTGACCTAAAGAGACAAGGTAAGCTGCGGGAGACAAGGAACCACGAGCAAGAAGATCTAAGCGATAGAGACCATTATCAGCCCGACCGCGGAGGAGGAGTTCCTTGGTTGAAAGATCCTTAACACAACAAGAGTCAGAATAAAATTCAAAAAAACAGTGATTATCACGGGTAAACTTTTGAACAGATAACAGAGGCTTAGTAAGAGAAGGAGCATGCAAGACACGATTTAAATAAAGAGGACGAGAAAACGATGGCAAGACAGATACCAACTCTGATACCAACTTAGAATAGGGAAATTGTATTTCATTGATGATGTATTGTGCACAATATACAGACTATATATAGACAATAACAAACCCTAATCTAGGACATAATAAGAAATATACTAAATATTACAATACACCTAAACTCTGTAAGTATGAATTATTTGTATAATTTTAGTATACAACAAATCACCAAATATTTTTAATATTTCCAATAATATTTTTATCCTTGCTTTGATAACTAAACACTAAGTGCATACTATATTTTGGTTTGATCTTCATTTTATTTAATAAGAAATTTGTTAATCAATTGCATTATATAGTTGACGAATTTAACTTAAAAGAAAATGAGTTTATTTATGATTTGGAATTGATTTTTCCTCGTATTCTTCAATTTTTTTTGCATCAATTATTATTCACTATTCTTAAAATCGGATTCAAACATGTTTTAGTTTCAATATTACTTGTAGTAAAATATCCAGTCTATAGTCGATAAATAGAACTGACCAGATCACCAGAAGTTCATTTGATCAATCCCATTAAAATTAAAAAATGTTGGTTTTAAACTAGATTTCTCATTTCTGCACACACAAACGTGGGGAGTAACTCTCTGGGGTTCTTTCACTTTCTAAATACTTTCTATCTAGCTATATATCTTACTTTTGATCTCTTTAATTTTATAGAGCAAGACTTGTTTTATTTTGGGAAAAATTTGGTTATGTGTTCAAATAGTTTCTTTAATGAAGTATAGTTTTGCTTTTGCTGTACGATCCAAATATTGTATTATTGTTTTAGTGTTTTAGTATTTTTGGAACAATTCTCCCTCAAAACTAACTAGTTATTCATAAGATAAATTACTTCTATCTCAAAATAATCGTTTAGTTTAGAATTTTTTTCTTAAAACCTATTGGATTTAAAATAAAAATCTAATTAATTGGACAATAGTTTTTTCTTGGGAAGATTGTTGTGATTATTATTTAATATTTCTCAGTTATGGAGAAAACATGGATTATGCAAATGGACTTCAGATTTTTTTCTTTTCTAATTATATGATGATGATGATGATGATGATGATGATGATGATGATGATGATGATGATGATGATGATTATAGTTAATCTGATTTTCTTTTCTAATTATATGCAAGAGATAATTTTTTAAAAACTTTTGGTTGGGTTAAGAAAGAATAAGCGTTATTTATAGTTAATCTGATTTTTTTTGGGTAATTAAATTTATCAAAATACTTATAAATCTCGATTTTCATTAATTAGTTTGAATCATTAAAATTACAAACATCATTAGATTGAATTCAATATGGATCATTATGACCATGTTGAGGGTGTTTTTTTTCTCTGCACATTGCACAGCGTCCGCCATTAGCAACCATAACGAATCCGTTCTATCTATATTTCTAGAACTACTCAAGTTCAGTCAACCCAATTGAACAAAAAAAATTTATCATTGATGTTTGATCCGTAAATTCAAGGCTCCTTAGCTCTTGATGTTGCTTCTTTTGGGAAAGCACTCCTCGAATGCTTCCCAAGTAAGCATCCTTCACATACTTGATTGGGCTGATTGATAGGAGGTATTCCTTTCACCATGCATTTGGCAGATAACATTTTCAAGTCAGCAAAATTTAAATGAACATACCTCATGTGCCAAATCCACGAATCATCCTTCAAGCATGCTTTCATGTAGTTCTCATGTTGAATGTTCAACAAGAACAATCTATTGCTTGTCATTGGCACAATGGTAATTAATTTTCCTTCTGGATCCTTAACTATGGCCCTACGATCTTTCAAATGAATATCGTAATTTTTCTCCAGAAGTTGTCCTAAGCTCAAGATATTACTCTTAAGACTTGGAACATAATAAACTTCTGAAATGTATTGGTGACTTCTATCTCTAGCAAGGATTAGTATCTTACCTTTGCCTTCAACCCTTGCTCTAGAATCATCTCCAAACATCACGTACCCTTTGGCTGGTTCCATGTCTACGAACAACCTTTTTTCCCCAGTCATGTGGTTACTCGCAGCGGAGTCAAGATACCACGTCTTCTTCTTTCCTTCGTCCTCGTGTCTTGCCATTAAGAGAGTGAGTTGAACTTCATCTTTAACCTCCATAAGATTGGCTTTCTCTTTTACTTGACTAGAATTCCTACACTCACTTGCATAGTGACCATATTCTTGGCAATTAAAGCATTGGATTAGAGATTTACCTCCTTTCTGAAACTTCATACCTCTTCCACGACCTCTTGTAGATTGAGAACCTTTGTTATTGTCATCCTTGGTGGATTGAACGTAGCCACCTCAAGCCCTTCCTCGTCCACGTCCTTGAAATCCACCATTACCTCGTCCAAGGCCTCTGCCACGTCCAAAGCCTCCATCTCTTTCTTTGAAAGAGAGTTTTGTGTAGAGAGCTTGCTCAAAAGATTCTTTGGGCCTTCTCTTCTTTAGTTTCTCTTCATGGGCTACTAAAGTACCCATGAGTTGATCAATGGTCATAGAGTCAAGATCTTTTGACTCCTCTATCGCTACCACAATATAAGCAAAGCTTGGTGTCAAAGAGCGAAGAATTTTTTCTATCACTCTTGTGTCACTCAAGCTTTCTCCATTCCTCTTCATCTCATTTGACACTTTCAAGACACGAGAACAATAATCTGAAACAGATTCGGACTCCTCCATTTGTAAAGCTTCAAATTCTCCTCTAAGAGTTTGAAGACGTACCTTTTTTACCTTCTCAATGCCTCTATTAGCATTCTCTAGAATATCCCAAGCCTCCTTTGATGTAGAAGCATTTGCCACCTTCTCGAACATGGAATCATCTAGACATTGATGGATAAGTGAAAGAGCTTGTTGATCCTTTCTCCTTGCTTTGTTGAGTTCCCCCCCTTTGGGCAGGAGTCAAAGAAGCCTCATCTAGAGGTTTCTCATAACCTTTCTCAACAATCTCCCAAACCTCATGAGAACCCAAGATCGCCTTCATTCGAATGGAGCACTTACCATAATTTTCTTTGGTAAGTTGAGGAAATTGGAAAGAGATCATTCCATTTGCCATCTTACTTCAAAGCTGGACCAACACCAGCTCTGATACCAGTTTGTTAGCAAAAGAACCCTTTGGGTTATAAGAAAGAGACCTTTTAGGTTATAGATTTAGGAAGTGGAAATAAAAGAGAAGGAAATTTTGGGAGAAAGGGAGGTTCACTACTTTGTAGTAAAAGGAACAAAGTGTAAAGGATTGTATTAAGCTTTTAGCTTAATAACTCATACAATTTCTCTACACACCTTACATAAGGGGATTAACTCCTATTTATAGGAGTTCATGGAAGATTCTACATACTTTCAAGATTTTCCTCCTACACATAATATCTAGAAATTTCCTCTAGATATTTCAATTGATTATTCTACAATATCTAGATATTTTAGTAGAAGTTTCTACTACTTTCATCATCTCTTTCTAGTCTATTCTTTATATTGGATTTGGGCTCAATTTTAAACACAATACTAATGATCTAACTAATTAAATTGGATGAACCAATAAAATTTTGGACCAAACAAGTTTATTCACTAACAAAAACACTCATTACATTAAATCTGAGAAAATTAACAAAACACTCATTGTGAGACCCTAGTCCGCAGGACCGCTTTGTTTAGCATCGGGCATGGATATTTTGCTACGTTCAACTCTGTTTTTGGTACTCAAAAAGGAGGAAAAATAAAGTTTTAGCTCAATTGTAAATTATAGTAAAGTAATTTGAAAGAAACAAATAAAGCATAGACGAAAATTTTAGTGCCTTGTTAACTCACTACTCCTTAATTTCGGCTAGCTCAATTATAAACCGATATTGTTTTCACTGTCCAACTATCCACGTTCAGCCTTCCTACATCCATCGCTAGAAGTATTTACAAATCAACTTTATTAATAAGTCTCCCAACCGACTTAAGATAAAAATCTTAAGTCTTTACAAATCAACTTTATTAATAAGTATCTATCGCTAGAAGTATTTACAAATCAACTTTATTAATAAGTATCCATCGCTACTCTTTACAAATGTGTTCTTACTGTCTCTATCATATCAATCTTTAATTATCAATATGAAGGCTTTCTTATACTATTTCCTTTGCAAATGAACTGTTTGAAACTTCTCTTTGTTGTTTGTTTGAAATATCATTCGGAATCCAGGCTTCACGAGAAGGTTGTTTGAATGCCATTGGAAACCTCTATGGTCTCATAAAGATTTCGTTCGTAAACTATTTAATGTCAAATCACGGGTTGTTGTTAGTTTAAGATTCTTTCTGTCTAAAATGATTTTACTAAACAAGGTTGAGTTCTCTAGGATGAGCTTTTTCTTTCATACTATCACTGGCTGCTTTTAGATTCAAACTCCCTTCTTTAAAATGCTATAATTAGCCAATGCTTCTTTAAAAGAAATGTGTTTGATCTAAAATATCCGGACTACTATTTTTATTTTTCAAGCGAAAAACTCTTAGATGAGCTTGCTTTGTTTCAACTCTGTTTATCAAAGACTCGATATCAAATTGTCAAAGCAACTAGAATGGTATACTAAATCGTCACATTTCACATCTCGATTTGAAACTGTTTATTGCCTCATTTTATATGGCCGGCGAGCCTCTTCTGTTTCTGTATGGATTGGAACGAGCTTCCCAATTGTACACTTGGGAGGAGTTCACCGATCAACTGGAGCTGCAATTTGGGCATTTTATTCGGCCAGCAACGGTGGTCTATTTTGGAGGTGTCGCCTACGGATTCTTCAGTCACAGAGCCAAAAGTCGAGGAAGACGCTGAGTTACTAGAGACAGAATCACCTAGTGTAATCACCGATGAATCTAACAGAGACTTGACGACACCGCCGGAATTTAGTGAGAAAGAAAATCCAGGGGACTCCATATCATTATACAATGCAGTTAACAAAGAGAACATTACATCTTTGAAATTTGACATCTACATGGGAGGTAAAGCGTGAAGAAGTTCCAGCGAAATTATTATGCGACTAAAACAACAAAACATTTCAACCAAAACCCAAGGCGTTACATGAATTATTATTATGCAGACCCCAAGTTGACAAGGAAATTATTCTTTTTATGCCTTTACTTGTGTGCATAGAGACGAACCGGAAGACCCTTAGCTGGAATTGGCGCAGGAATAAAAGCAACCTTCTCATCAGCAATAATTTTCTCCCACTTGAACCTCTTCACCAAATTATGACCAAATTATGGATGAACACCAGAATTACGAGCTGGGCGTATTCTTTTCCTGGGCAGATCCGAGGTCCACCTCCGAAGGGAATAAATGTGTATGGAGCAGGACCCGACCCTTCGAACCTGGATGGATCGAATTTCAAGGGATCGGGGAAATACTCAGGATTTTTATGGGTCGCATTTGCGTCCCAATAGAGTTTCCGCCCTTTAGGGATTGAAAATCCATGGAAGATGAAATCACTCAAAGCTTCTCTGAATGCTCCTGGAGCTGGTGGGGCAAGTCTCAGCGCTTCACGAACTACATTCCAAGAATACTTCATTTTCTTGATGTCTTCCCAGCTCAATAATTCACCGGGTGCTTTCGATTTGGCGATTTCCATTTGTTCTGTTCAGACAGAAGGAGGAGGTTGATTCTTGTCCGAGAATAACAATGTCCAGTCAATAGGTGTCCTATTTCATTTCCTTGCAAACATTTAAATCTCCGGCCTTATAAGAAGAGGAAATTAATACACAAAGACAAGTTGGGATTGAGGAAAGCTCGAATATTTGTGCTTTCGAGCAAATTAACGTAAGCAAAGTTTTTGTTAATGAAAAGATACACAGCAGGCTACATTTGACTCCCCACATACAGCCCTCGGGGCAATATTAGGTAGAATGCAGCTGAATTGTTGTCTTTTCTCGGTTTTAAAATGATTTTCTTATTTATAATTTTTTTTATTTTTTAATTTATAATTGACACTAAAGATTGGACAATTATTTTAAAACGTTTTATTTAGGAAAAAATTGCATCTGCTGGCGATAGAAGAAAGTTGTTGTCTGAATTAATCAAATATAAAGTCTTTCTCATTTGTCGTGCAGTACCAATTTCAGAAAACCACCAAAGAACATCTCTTCCGTTATAAAAATTCAAGCACATTGCGCGCACATGCATGTCACACAATATGACAAATGGAAAAAATTACTCAACCTGTTGAAATAGAGTATACATGAAAATTGTTTTTTTGGACGTTGGACTAAGGTACATGAAATCATGAGATTGAAGAGCAGTGATAGAGACAAGGATAATATACAGTAAAATCAGATAGTGATTAGTGAAAATACAAAAATATCATTCGATTAAGTTCATAATGGCCAACATAATGAAGAATGATTAAGTAAATACATTACACCTCGATCATTATCTTATTTTAGTACTCTCTCCATTTCAAAATATAAGTCTTTTTAAACTTGGCACGTAAACTAATGGGACAATCATCCAACAATTAATTTATGTTTTAAATATCTCTTTTATCCCTCATTAATTACATTGAAATTATAAACAAGACTAAATGAAAATAGATTAACATTATTTATTGAGGGTAAAGTTGGAAAAATAGTAATTAATTTGCCTAAAATTTGAAAAACGACTAAAATTTTCAAAAATCTCTCCAAACCTAAAACGACCTACAAATTGAAATGGAGGGAGTATTTATTTTAACTGTAAATATCATTTTCCGAGATTGTATGCTTTTTTTATGGTATCAATCATGTTTTGGTGTTCAAAGGAAATCATGTCATTTTTGAAACATAGGAACCGTAAATTAAATGAAATAGCATGATTTTAGTACTTCTTCTACCCAAAAAAAAATAATAATAATAATTCTAATCAAGTTTTAAATTTTGTATTAAAAAGAGTAAAAATCTCAAAATTTAATGTAAACATTTTTTTAAAGAGAGGTAATATTTGACAAACAGAGGGTTTCAAGATATCAATTAGATAGCGACAGTGGGGATTGTGATAAGGAGATTACAGCTGGCTACTACATCCACATATGCCATGAAAATATTAATATACATATCATAAAAAACTATAAATTTCAAAATTTAATGCAGACAATTTTGGGAGACAGAACTATAGAGTACAATTTATACTAAGAATGAGCATATGAACCAAACAATCATTATAGCGACAAATAAAATATCACACATCTCGAATAAAAATAATGCCAAATATATAACAAAGTGTAACTATTTCGTGTGTGAATTACGTGTATTTACCATTGAGTCAGAATTCTCCATGATATGTTCTTTTCTCTTAAACAATATTGTGTGTTTTCTTATTTAATGTCAGTTCAATCAAGTATAATAATTTTATGAGATGAATGAATGAAAGAAAAAGACTAACCCTTGTAGACACCTTCATAGATCTCAGGCAACTCGGCCAAATACTTGACAATCGAAGTGCTTACGGAGCTAGAGGTTGCATGACCACCAACAACCAATCCCAGCATCTTGTCAGCAACATCCGATTCATTAAAAAAATTCCCATGTTCATCTGTTGCATTCAACATAATTGACATGACATCTTGAGTAGGGGATGCTTTTCCGTCAGCCAAATCGATTTTCTTCTGCTTAATAATAGCCAGAAATTGCTTCCTGAGCTGACTTGATGCCTTCACTGCTTTATTGAGTGCCGTTCCGGGCAAGTCAATTGGCACTGAAAACATCCCAGCCGGTAAAACCATAAAAAGTTCAAACAATTTGGAAGCTTCGGTAGGATCTTCGACACCGAGAAACAGTCTAGCAGCAACCCAGAAAGTGTAGCTCTCGCTAAGTGGGTAAACCTCAACTTGGTCCCGGTTTTCCCAAGAAGAAGCAAAATGTTTTCTAGCAATGTCATCCATTACGCCGACGTATCCACGCAATGCTTCAGAATTTAAGAATCTGGGAAATATTTTTTTCAGCTGGATTGCTATTTCCCTTGATGTAATTTCATTGGATGGATGAAAGATCTTGTCAAATGAACGAGGCCACCAAGCTTGAACAAGCTTCTCCTCGTTCAGAAATAAGAATTTGTTCCCAAGAGGACCGCAGAAGAAAACGGCCTTCTCTCCGAAGAGATGAGTTTTGAATACATTGGATGAGTACTTTGCAATCCGATCAAACGAGAATTTTTCAGGTTGACCATTCTTTCCACAAGAAAGGTACTCGAGGGTTTCTCCGATTATCGGCCACCCAATCTTTCCAGGCGGTAGATTAGATAACCCGGATTTTGTCGCATAGAAGAAGAAATAGAGTAAAAGGGTCGTAAGAAAAACAAAGAAGCAAAGCAAAGAGACGTAGGAAAACTCCATGTCTTTTTTTAGTCAAAGTTAGTTGGATGAGTTTGGAATGAGAAGAGAAGAAACCACCTCTTATTACTGGAGAGATGTATGCCTTTGGCACGAATCTCACACATACACATAACATGCATATATACAAAGTTTATTGCTTCTTGCACAGTTGATATCCAAGTCTCAATGCTTATGTAAAATTTACTATGATAACTATCGAAACTATAAATAACTTTTTTATAACATAACATAATTAATATGTTGTCAAAACTTTCGACTAACAATTGGCCATTCTTTATCACCTATTATCTAGCTAACAGTTGAATCAGTAATCAGGTGTATTTCATTCCGAAAGTGTGATATTATTCATCATTGGCACTTAATTAGATATAAATAATTAGTTTATTGTGACTTTTTAGTGATGAATCGAGCACGCTTAATCTTATTAGTACTTAAATGGATTATTAATAGATTAAACAAGTGATTATAGACCGAACAACTTAAAATATTGATCAGGCTATACTATTTATTAAAAGAACGTGGGAACTGATTGGTTTATGTACCAATTAGGTATGTGATCATATATTTCCATCATAAAAGCAAGTCAAACATACCTCCTTTGTCTTTCATAAGTATTTGAGAGATTCCTACCTCATTTGTTTTTTGTTTTTGTTTTTTTTTTTTGAAATATCTAAAAGTCTGGTTATATCCATGCCTACGTACATAATTAATGTCCATGACATAATTTTCCTTTGTTATGATGTTATACAGGTGTTTATTTAATTTAACTTATTTTGTACACTTTCTTGGTTGGGTTAAGAAAAGGTGGACTACCAGAGGTAATAATTGAATAACTAGGCGTTATATATTGTTCGAATGAGATTTTCTTTTTTCTTTGTGTAAAATTTATCTATAAGTTATAAGTCTCAAATTTCATTAATTATTTTGAGTCATTAAAATTACAAATATCATTAGATTAAATTCAACATGAATGCTTATAACTATGTTGAGAGCTTTCTTTCTGCATATTGCACACCGTCCGTTCTATACCGTATATCTACATGTAAGTATTAAGTTAAGTTTCCTTAAAAAAAAGTATTAAGTTATAATAAAAAAATATTTACAGAGTTTTAAAAATTTAGCACTAATGTTTGATCCGTAAATTCAATGAACCTGCGATTACATATATATATATATATATATATATATATATATATATATATATAGAAAATGTTAATTTACATTAAAGCAACTAAAACTAAAATAGCTAAAAGACATGAAAAACTAATATAGTTAAGAAAATTAAAATAAGTTGATAAATTTGTTTTGAAATTTAAAAATAGTAAAATTAATATAAATTAAACTAACAATTAAATAAAATGTAAATTTTTTATTTAAAAAGGAAGGGGCGCCTCGGGCGTTCGGGTAGGAGGCTTGGCGCAGGCAGCGCGCCCCAATCCAACGCCCTTTAGAAACGTCTCACTCAGACGCAGCAATTGACGGTCAAGCGTCGACCGCAGACGCTTTCTTTCAAAGTAGAACGTAATTTGGTGTCAACGCTATAGGCGGACACCCGTGCAATTCCTGCAGTTTTTATTTTTCTGAAACCGGAAGGAAAAAATAGTGCCGCCGCCGACCAAAATCACCCAAATACAATCCCCAAACATTGATTTTCAATACAAATCAAACAAAATAGTTATCAAATTCGACCTTAAACAAAAAAAAAAGATAATAAAAAAATCCTTGTTTCTGCCCGGCGGCGGAGGATTCAACCCCTTTTTTCTATTATTTTTTTTTCATTTTAATTTGGGGAAAATAAAATTTTTAAAAATTGAAAAACTTAATTGATTTGCCAATAGACCTTTGCCTCGACCATGAACTTTTGAATTCTTCATTGTTGCAACCCCAAATTAAAGAAATAGAACCCTTACATTATTTTTTTTAGCTTGTGATTGAGAGGGTTTGGAGAGAAAGAACAAAAAGGTTCATGTGTTTTAATTCTATGACAGGGTAAAATTTGAAGGGGCCCTACCTAAGATTTTGGATGTAACATATAGCAGCCCAAAAAAGAATTGATATGCAAGTCCAACTAATAACAAACATCAGTTTCCAATGAGATTAGACTTAGCAATCCGTTTTGAAACTTATGGTCAATAAATTTCTTATTAATAAAAACAAACGCCACCTAAGGTACATGAACGTGTTCTAAGCCATTGGTGAAATGATTAAAAATTGAATGATGTACCATTAAATTAGAGAAGGCAGGTTGAGGAATACGTACGTACCGGCGAAAGCTACTCTTCAATTTCGAGTTTTTGAGTTAAAAAATGGTTCAAAAAAAGGAGTAGAGATAAATATAGATCCAATTTTGGGAAAGAGCAAAATACCGATATCGGATTCCTAAAATCCGATTTTCCAGTTAAATCAAATTCTCAAAATCCGACCTTCCCTTAATACGAAAAATTAATGAAATTAATCAAGATTAAGAAAAGATCGGATTTTGAAAATCCGACCCTATCATATTAAAATAAAATATTTTCAGAAAAACACTTAGTGTTTTTTTTGAAATAAAATTTTGATCAAAGTCGAATTTTTAAAATCCGATTTTAGTGTAAGGTCGGATTTCAGAAATCCGGGTAAGTATAAATCGAATTTTGAGAATCCGTGTAAGTTAAGTTTGGATTCTCAAAATCCGATTTCTTCGTAAAACAAGTAGAAATCTGACCTTGGACAGACACTTTGAAAAAAATAAAGGATTGGTTTCTAAACCAATCCCAACCTTTCAAAACAGCACCAAAACCAAATTTCACGCACAAAATTACCTATAAACACATTCTAAACATATCAAAACAAACATTAACAAATTCAAATCCCAAATCATCCAAATTACAACATTTATACATGAAAGAGTTATAAATAAAAGAGTCCTACAATTGAATTACTTTGACGACCTTTTCTTCCTTATAGCCCCGTCCCGGGAGTATACTTCTTGGCCGGTTTACTAACCCTATCACTCTTGCGAACCTCGACCGTTTTCTTTTTCTTTTGGGAAGAAACACGAGGTGGAGAGGACTCTTCTTCTTCTTCTTCTTCTTCATCTTCTTCTTCTTCGCCCCTAATGTAGTAATCCTCATCGCTTTCATTGCCTTCATCATTTTCATCATCTTCTTGCATCGGAGTTGGATTGGGATGAACTATGATTGTTCGATCTGAAATTCCCGGTCGCTTCCTCCTTCCTCCTCCAGTAGGCTTCGATGTTGTTTTCTGCGTGAGCACCACATTTTGACTTGACTCTGGGGGTCTTTTCTGAAGAACTTGAGTATCGGACTGAGTGCTCATATCACGTGGGCCCAAAGTTAGGGCACTAAAACTCTTGTCGAAGATTTGGAAGAGTTTATCCTCTAGACTACCACCGAGGCTTGGATTTTCCCGTAAGGCTACATCAGCGAGATGATATATGTCGCTGAGATTTGAAGACTGTAGAAAATTGAACCATGTTAATAAAGTATAAGATATAGCAAGAAATAAAATATCAAAAAAATTTAAAATAAAATATCGACATATATCTTTCATAAAATCTCTCCAGAGATGAAGACGAGTGATAACCCAGTGCCAGAGGGCCGTATTGAGTGGGATCAGTCATAAATCTGATAGTCTTCTTTTGAAACCACGGCATGTAGTCCGATGTGCATTGAGGACCTAGTTCCGGATCAACCAATTCATGAGGGACCACGTGCTGATCTCTCACATTCCAATGAGGTCATACCTCAGTGTGTTTTTGCACCCAATCATCATATGCCTTTCCAGTCCCAAGGCATCCATGGTGTATCGCATTCCAGCGATCAATGTCATTGATTAACGAGTACTCTGGCACAGTTTGCACGCATTGAAATTGACGAAGGACCCGATTGGGCTCGTATGGTTCTCTGATGGCCCAACAAAAGATCCACGTCCTACAGAGGTAGAAATGAACTCCCTCTTTACAGAAATCAGGGAGATCGTCGATGAAGGGAGTGTATGGAGTCCATAGAAACTGTCCAAAATTAAAAAATTGGTAAAAAAAAATAGAGAAAAATGTGAAAAGGAATTTTATCAAGCAAATTAAATCAATACTTACATCCCCATCCCTTCGGCTAGATAACTGATTCCTGATACCAGCAACACAATGAGCGGCGATGTTCGCTTTGGATTTTGGGCATTTCCACCTACGATTGAGACATAATAGGAAATAAAAAATAATAAAATAAATCATTGGATTGAGACATAATAGGAAATAAAAATTTATAAAATAAATCTATAATTACCTATTGCCTAATGGTGCGTCCGACACCAAGTAACTCTCATCTTTAACCTTCCTCTTTGGTTGAAGTCTTGGGATACGCTCCCAAACCCATAACTGAAATTTTAAATCAAACAGAAAAGGCACAAATTAGGAAAACAAACAAAAATATAATAAAAAAATATAAATAAACAAAGAAACAAAAAAATTCACCTGCATCAGCATATAACATCCGGTAATGTCTTTTTTCCCGGGCGTGGAAGCTTGACACAAAGCAAAGTACAGCTTCGCTAACACAGCTGACCCCCAACTGTAGGTAGCACAAACATCCAAATCCTCGAGTATTGTCAGGATCCAAAGTGGTATTCTGTTTCCCGTATTGTCAGGAATCAAGAAACCTCCAATCAGTAGTAAAAGTAATGCACGGGCCGTCTGTGTATAGGCCTCTCTTGGGGTATTTTCTGGGATCGGACACAGACACTCGTTGATTAAATACTCTGCATAAATCTTATTCCCATCAAACATGTCACTAACGGGTGTAATTCCCAACAATCTAAAGCACATCGCCATTCACTGTGGCATAGAATTCTTAGGTGTCATCCCCTCCACAGGCTTACCATCCACTTTCATTATTTAACTTTCATTACATTTTTCTCACATGTATTTTCCGAAAAAAATTTGTTATTTTATTAAATCTGATTCGTTAAATCCGAACTACTAATTTAATTAGTAGATCGGATTTTGTAAATCCGATCTCCATATTTTGCTTTAAAAAAAAATATAGATCTTTCTATTCCTTTTTCTAGTAGATTTTTTAACCAAG